AAACCCAAAAACTTTTAGCGGAAATAAAAGTTACCCTCAAATCGATGGAAATCTCGACGTAGTCCTGTCGCCGCCGGCCGGACCACTCACACGCCGCCGGTTAGATCATCTCCCTGCCGCCTGAACCCGAAGAAACACAAATCGAAGAACTCTCAAAGTAGATGACAACTTTATTGCTTCTCTCTGTGTTTACAAAGTGCACCAACAGCACTCTTTACAAAAATTTCGACTAAACTCGAAACCCTAACTAAACTAGCAACTCAATTGCTCTCGAAAACGATACCGGGAGGCTACCTCTCCCTCTCTGTTTATACCGAAAACCTCCTACTCAAAGTAGCAGAACAACTCCTAATCACACTAGGACTCTATCCTCAATTACCAACCAAATTACAATTTACCAAATTGTAATTCTCTCAAACTACAGCCGCACGCATCTCCTATACCAGCTTGGTCTCGGTCTCCATCGCACGGGACGACACCAACTCGGCCTCTCTACCTTGCCCTCCAGGGCGACACGGTCTGTATCCAACCGAGCCGCTGCATCGCTACCTGTTTGCACAGAACGCACACACATGCATGCTACAGTACCGCCCGTACTGTAGCACCATATGCCAGCCAATCACAGACACGATCAATCACACATATATGCATGCTACAGTACCTCGCCGTAGTGTAGCATCATATACTCTTCCTCAGTTGTACTCTAATCCCCTTCGCGAACACCGACGCTTGCATGCATACCTCGTGAAGCCCGTTGCGAATATCTCTCCTACACGGTATCCATCCACCGTGTACCATCTCGTATCCAACTTCGTCACCCGATATACTTAATAGTCTGGACCTCAACTCCTCCTTGAGTTTAGTCCCGATCCCCACCGTTGACTGAAGTTGACCTCCAAGAATCCTGACTCTAGTCACCTTCTCACATGGTATCCCGACCGCAATAGACCTCTGCTCCTCCCTGAGCATAGTCCCGGTCCTCACCATTGACTAAGGCTGACCTCAAGTCACCTGCACACAATCAGACAAAACAACCGTTTCTGGACACAGATATCACAACCTGACCCACATTAGTCACACGCACTCACACCAACATCCACACATACTTTCAAACCAAATCTTTGATTAAATCATTTGCATAGCCAATTGTTCATCACAAATATTAATCATAAAAATGATTTCACAAAACTATTTAAGACACCATGTAATATAACATAAAAAAAAAGAAGAGGTGGTCAGAAGTACTTCTTTCTCATAAAATTTTGTCTCGAAGATCTGATTTCCTGAACAAAGATATGTTTTCCTTTGTACAGGACAGTAGGACACGTATAGACCTAAATGAACAATTGAAAAGTCAGGCAAGAAACAGAGGCCGAGTTTAGTTTCAAAATTTTTCATCAAACTTTCAATTTTTCCATCACATAAAAACTTTCCTACACACATAAACTATCAACTTTTCCGTCACATCGTTCCAATTTCAACCAAAATTCCAATTTTGGCGTGAACTAAACACACCAGAAATGGGCCAGAAACTAATATCAGAAAATGAGTTAGACAAAATGTATTTCAGTTTTGACACATGGAAAGGGGCCATCCAAGTATCCAAGTAAGATCTTTGCTCGATACAGTTATACAGAGGCAACATAACCTGCAATCAGCAGCAGTAATGCACATGAACAATTGAACACAGATGCTGATTTACCTTTGAGTTCCAGAACGAGACAGATGATGCCACCTCTCCAGCCATGTTGGCAACAACATCCAATAGAGTACCAGGAAGCGCAGAAAAGGTGTCAGGGAACACACATACAGACAGAGGCAGTGGTGGTGGTCTGGTGGATGCCTATCTTGTTGTCGTCCCGTCCCGTCTCGTCTCCTCCAGGCAGATATGGCTGAGAGCTCCAGTCCATGCCGCGCACACGAGCTAGGCACGCACGCGGCACGCTCCTCGTCGTCAGGCGACCTGGCTGCAAATCCAAGCGGGGGCGTCCTCTTCAGGTGTTGTTGCGAGTCCAATCCAGCCGTCGCCTCACTCTCCCCCACTGGTGCCCTTCGGCGCGGCATTTCGTCAAACACCTCGTCGCCATGCGGTGATGCATGCGCGGTGCGCCCGTGCCGACGAGCAACTTGGCAACAGGAAACAGTCCTCCTACGACGAGTGGCCCAGCACTTTCGAGGCGGCGGCGGTGGACGTTTTCTGCCTCGGATCAGCTTGCCCGCACCGCCGCACGCCGGCGGCCGCGGCGGCGGCGGACGGTTTTGCTCAGACAAAGACGGTGAGGGTATGGCCCGTGGGCCGCCTCTCCACCATTCTCCCATTCTTGGGCCGTCTACCGATCTCCTATTCTCCCTTGGAATAAGTTCACCGGAGGTCCCTCAACTTAACAGCGAGAATTTTCGAGGCCCTCAACCATAAAACCAGAAATCTCCACCCCTAAACTATACAATACCGTTCACTCAAGGTCCCTAAGCAGTATATATGGGTGGTTTCGCTGACGTGGCATCCTAGTCAGCAAATAAAAATTTAAAAAGTGCGTGGGGCCTACATGTCAACTGCACATATTCTTTTTCTTCTCTTTTTCTTTTCCTTCTCTTCTCTTTTCTCTCCTCTCTCCTTTTCTTCAGCGAGGGAGGCGGCGGCAGGCGGAGCAGCGGAGGGCGAGCGCGGCAGCAGAGGGCGAGCGGGCGCGAGCGCGGCCGCGGGCAGAGAAGCGGGCGGCGGGGCGCGTCACGTCACTAGACGTGTCCATGAGCCTCCTTGCCGGCGAGCTCTCACCGGCCATCGCCAACCTCACGTAGCTCGAGCTACTCATCAACCTCACCTCCAACGCCTTCTCCGGGAGCATCCCCGATGGCCTCGGCTGGCTCCGGCGGATGTGGTATCTCAGCCTATGCGACAACGCGTTCGCCGGCAAGATACCTGACGTGCTCCGCAATTGCACCGCCCTCGACGTCGCGTACCTCAACAACAACAACCTCGATTGTCGGCGGCGTTCCACGGTGGCTCGACGCGTTGCCGAATCTCATGGTGCTCCGGCTCAGCCACAACTCGATCTCCGGCCACATCCCGCCATCGCTGGCGAACCTCACGAAGATCGTGCAGCTCGAGTTCGACCAGAACCTTCTGGAAAGTTCCATCCCCGACGGCTTGCCACGCCTCCCAGCGCTCCGCATGTTAGCCTTGTCGCAGAACAGCCTCACCGGAGAGATCCTGCCGAGTTTCTTCAACATGACGTCGTTGCGAGGCCTCGCACTCGCGAACAACGTGTTCCGCAGTGAGCTCCTAGCCGATTGACGTGGGCGTGCGCGGACCAGCACATTCCTCCCAAGTTCTAAACGCAGATCAAACCATACAAGTGTAAAACTTCATCACCGAATTCGCATTTCTATCTACTCCACGATTCGGACGTCAACTAGCGATAGCACTGTAGTCTGTACCACGAGTTCACGACCCGACACCTCCAGGCTCTATCCCTAACCCGAGTAACAACCAAAAGAACCCACCAAACCTGGACATCTCGAGCGATTCCCACACAGATCTGCGAGGGCTAGCGAATCTATCGACACTACATAAATCAGAGTAAGTCCAAAGAAGCACCTTGCGGCGGAGGTGCTCCTTGGGGATGCCGGAGACCATGCTTATCTCGCCTGGCTTGATCTCGACGAGGGCGTCGGACGCTGCCGCGGAGAGCATCCGCGCGGGCGCGGGAGACGATGAGAGGAGCGCCTGCCCCAGGGAGGGGAAGCTCCGCAGGAGCGGGGCGTCCATCTTGTCAGAGCCGTACGCCGACCGATGACGGCGGCGCCTGGGAGTTCTTGGACAACCTGACCAACTGCAACGCCTTGGCTGAGATATTCCTCGACGGCAACATGTTCGCCGGCGTGATGTTGAGCTCCATCGTGGTTCCATCCGCCATTGGCCGATTGGCGACCTCACGCAGCTACTCAAGCTCGACCTGAGTGGTAACTCGCAGCTCGCTCCGCGCCGCCTGCCGCCTGCCACGCCCGCCTCCTGCCCTCCTCTCCCGCTTCTTCCCCACGCCCCGCCGTGCCCGCACCCGCATCTGCCCGCCTCTCCAAAGAAGAGAAGAGAAAAGAGAATATGCAGCTGACATGTGGGCCCAAGTACTTTTTTTAAAAAAAATTGCTGACTAGGATGCCACGTCAGTAAAACCGGGCAAAAATACTGCCGAGGGACCTCCGGTGAATGGTTTTGTATAGTTTAGGGGTGAAGATTTCTGGTTTTGTGGTTAAGGGGCCTTAGAAAATCTCGCTATTAAATTAAGGGACCTCCGGCGAACTTATTCCTTCTCCCTTTCTTGGGCCAGTGGTCCATTTTGAAACGTTAAATGTTTCATCCCTCAAAAAAGAAAAAAAATAAATTTCACAAACTAAGTATAATTCCACCAAACTATTACAAAACGGCAGGTTGATGTGTTGGAGTATATCATAATCACAGATTGAACATTATGTGTACTATGTAAAACTACATATCTACTCTCTCTCTCCCTAAATATAAGGGATTCTAGTTGTACCAAAATCCTTATATAAGAGATTTTGGTTGAAAGTGACAGGACGGAGGGAGTATAAGCGTATAAGTTAGTACGGATTAATAAAGTTATTATTTTTACAAAGTTAGAAAGCTATAGTTTTATTATGTTTGTAGTTTTGTAAAAATAAAATTGGTAATAAATCTCTAGTTTTGTGATTTTTTTGTTTAAGCAATCCCTCCGTTTGTAAATATTTGACACCGTCGACTTTTTAGCACATGTTTGACCGTTCGTTTTATTTAAAAACTTTTGTGAAATATGTAAAACTATATGTATACATAAAAGTATATTTAACAATGAATCAAATGACATGAAAAGAATTAATAATTACTTAAATTTTTTAAATAAGACGAACGATTAAACATATTTTAAAAAGTCAACTGTATTTAGAAACGGAGGAGTATATATTTTATTTTTTTAAAAAAAAATACTTAAAAGAAAGAAAGGCGTCTCTTGGTGGCGTGGCGGGCCGCGCAGCTGCTGCACTCCAACTCTCCAAGAGAGAAGGAATCGCGACTTCGCCGCCGCGGCCGCAACACCGACTTCGCCGGCGGCGGCGGCGATGGGCAACGCGCAGGCTTCCGCCTCCTCCACCAGCTCCCCCCGCTTCTCCATGGCGTCCAGGTAGTACCCCCTGGGCATCGAGAGAGCCTTCCCCGTTCTCGCAGCAGCCACTTCAATTCCCCTTACTCGATTCTCCCCTCGCGATCTCACTCGCTCTCGCTGTCTCGTCTCGCCGCGCAGGGCCTTCTCGAGGCAGGAGCTGGACGACCTCCGCGCGCTGTTCGTCTCGCTGGCGGCGCAGTCGCAGACCGGCGGCCGTGCCATCTCCCGCCCCGTCTTCCTCGTGAGCACACCACCACGCGTCCGTTACCGTTGAATCGAGGTTCTGGATCTGGGAATTCCAGTTTACGGAATCTGACACGCGCTGTTGATCTTCGCTCGCAGGAGTATTTCGGGATACGTGGGGCGCTCGGGGATCGGCTGTTCCAGCTGGTGGCGAGGGAGAGCGGCGGGGGTGAGGGGGTCACCTTCGAGGACTTGATCGTCTCCAAAGTGAGTTGGTGCCTTTCTTTCTCCTACTTCTCAATTCATTCGGTCCGTTTTGTTGTTCAATTAGGTGTTGCAAGTGTGAGTTTTAGTGGATTGGACAAATTTATTAGGGCATTCTTGCTTGATTTCTTAGTGCTAGGAGCTCTTTGCGTTCAAAGGGACAAATGTGCTTCGTGCCATATATTGTTCGAAGTTTAGCTAGAATTTATTAGAGAAATTCGATAATTTGACACTTTTCTGTTACAAATTTGCTTTAATTTACATTTGTGCGGATGACATGTGTGACCATCTGGGTGAATGAAAGTGGCCCAGGATGTCAAATAATTGAAGCCCATTTTAAGAAGTGCCAAATTATCAAATCTCTCAATTTAGAGAATTATGAACTTTCATCTCTTTCTTTGCAGTTTTTTAGCTTTGTTGCATGCATGAAATTGTTAGTTCGACTTGATATCATGTTTCATTAACAGTGTCAGTGTACTAGAGCCTTGGATTCTGTCCAAAATGGCAAACACTACAGCAATGGAAATTGTTTTGCTTAACCATACTTCATAGGGTTTTATCTTTGAAACCTTCTACCTCTATATAAATTTAGTCCATGAGGTGATGTAGTTTATGTAATTATTTCTTGATTTATCAACACAAATGTCTCTACCCAGTGTTCTAGCGTAAAATGGATATATGCCATATTTTTTATGGATACCAAGTGCTTTCAAACATTTTATTTTTATTTTTTTTCTTGTTAGGTAATGTTTTCTTTGTACAATCTACCATGTAGGCAACATACGAGAGAGGAACTCGAGATGAAGTTGATGAATTCATTTATCAACTATGTGATGTTACAGGAGATGAAGTCTTAGAAAGGTACTGTCGACTGTTCTCGTATAGACTGGTCTTCTCATGGTGTGTACTGTCTATAAATTTGTTGCACTCTTCTGATCCAAATTAATTTATGTGACAAGAATTTCTTCTTTGAAGTATTCTATCAAATACTTAGATTTATTTTGTGTTAGGTTTTATTATTAGCTCTTCTGTTTTTTTATGATCCGTTTACTCTTCTTCTTTTTATGAATGGTCATTTTACATTTGCCTTTGCTGTCCTGGATTGCCAGGTCTGATCTGGAAACTATCTTGGCATCTATTCGTGAAACCATATTTTCAGAAAATAAGGAAGCTGGGGAAGGCTCAAACAAGAGGACATTTGAAGCATTTATCAACTCTGCAGTATTTTCGAAGGATGCTGAAGGAGTCGCAAGGAAGTCTATGTCGCTATCAGACTTTAGGAGCTGGTGCATTCTCATTCCATCCTTGAGGAAGTTCCTTGGAAGTTTGTTGATGCCTCCTGATTCAGGTCTGTTTTTCCATTCTGTGTATTCCCTACAGCAGCAATTTGAAAAGAAGTGTCTTTACTGCATTTTTAATAGACTCGACTGCATAGTCTAATTAATTTGTATGATCAAGTATGATAATTGTGTTAATCGGACTAGCATTATGTTTATCTCATACACATATTATTCCTCATTTTTAGAATTTACCCTGTTCCAACTTCCAACCCCACTCAAATGGTGAGTGTAGCTTTTGTGCAGACTACAGATGGTGTTTAGGGGATAAGCCTCTCTTTCACAAGTCCTGCAATAGGAATTTCTACGTCCCTCACATGTAATTATGTGTATAGGCAGGACAAAAGATTAGAAGAACCCCGAGACCATAGAAATCAAAGAGTGTTAAGACATCATTTTCTCTTACTTCTATTCTGTCTATTTCTCAAACATGCATTGTTTCCGGTCATGCTTGGAATGGACATGTACTAGGCCTGTTTTAGGGTACATATACATCTGGAATTACATAACCTGCATACTTTTATTATCGGTTGAGGGAGATTAACAATGGACGTGTTGCCAAGAGGTCATGCATTGAGACGTCACAGCGCATAGCTAACTTGACAGAGGCTTAGGGATTTCCTGTGAACATCCCAATCTCACAATAACAAAGGAAGCTAAAATGGATCAACATTCAATCTACCATCCAGTTTAGTAAGTAAGAAACCTGTGGTTGATTCAATATTTTCATGTGTACAACAAAGCCAAGTCCTGCAGGTGAAATGAATATGCGAGTTAACATAGATCTTTTTCACTTCATTTGGTAATTGGGCAGTTTCTAGTGGGCATGAATGACTGAATGAGTCTGAATGGTGTCAACTGGGCACATGGTGTTGGCATGATTGCACCAGTCTGCTGGAACAAGATGGACAGTTGGTGTAGACTGTAGGCTGCCTGTAGAGGGCCTTCATCTTAGAACATTCCACCGTTATTCAAAGTGAACCTTTGATCAAAATCACCACAATGCTTGTTATTCCTCATTGATATGATCCTACTGTACCCTTGCTTGTACCTTTTGAAACAGTGTCTCTATTGGTTAATTTGCATGCGATCTTTGATTATGCTATACCTTTTTTTAGTGTTTAAGCAGTCTAAAACAATTCTTCATGAAAATATGTGAACTCTGAAAAGACCATATCTAACCTGGATATGTATGGTGTATCATGAGCATGATTTGTGTTATTCTGTAGGCAGACCAGGCTTCCAAGTACCAGCGCTTCATTACCTAGAAAACATCTCCCCAGATTTGCTACTTTTAAATAAAGAGTATGCTTGGCATATTGGAGGTGGTTTTTCACAACAGGAGGTGCAAGAATGGAGGCTTCTATATCACAGTTCTCTTCATGGACAAAGCTTCAACACTTTCTTAGGCAATGTAACGTGAGTACTCTTAAATATTGGTGATTCCAACTACTCTGTTTGATATAATAATACCCATTTCAAGACTATCTAATTCTAAATAAAAACTACACCTACAAACTAAATGTCATGATAATCCTTTCGCTTGGTCTATCATATCTGATATACCATCATGATTTTCCAGTACGTGAATAATCCCTGGGAATGTTTGTCATTTTATAGGAATGGAGATGCACAGACTGTTATCATCGTTAAAGATACTGAAGGATTTGTTTTTGGTGGATACGCATCACATCCTTGGGAAAGGCACAGTGATTTTTATGGTGATATGAAAACATTCCTGTTCAAGTTATATCCTGAAGCATCCATTTTCCGCCCTACAGGAGGGAACAGAAACCTCCAATGGGTATGCTCTGTTCAATTTCAAGTGCTCTCATATGTATCTATGCTCGGCATGTCAAATTTAAAGGAGTAAACCTTATGTATTTTTTTCCAGTGTGCCGTGAACTTCAGCTCTGACTCCATTCCAAATGGCATTGGCTTTGGAGGGCAGCCGCATCACTTCGGTTTTTTCCTATCCGCAAATTTTGATCAAGGGCACTCATTTACATGTACCACATTCACCAGTCCTGCCCTTTCAAAGACAAATAGGTTCAGGCCAGAGGTAATTGAATGTTGGGGCATACAAACGAAGGGGGCACTTGATGAAAAGGCAGAGCTTGTCAAGGGGACAGTCCTAGAGAGATTCAAGGAGGATCGGAACATGCTGAAGCTGGTTGGTTTGGCGAACGCGAGTGATTGACAGCTGAAAGAGGATCACCACGGCAAATTCCTGAGGACCCTGTACAGCACAATTTTACAGAAGAAGATAGATCCTTATATACGATTGTCACTGCTGAACTGAGCTTTATGAAACTTGTTTAGCTGCAAGTTGGTCTGTACTGTGTGTTGTGGCTGTATTAGATCAACTTCAATGCCGAATTCGAGATATGATGAGAGAGAAACTGACTGTATTTTGAAACATTGTCTATTTGTTTGTTAATATAAATGTTGACTGCTGAATATAGATGTATGACATGTACTTTAATAAAAAGATACTCCCTTCATTTCTAAATATTTGACGCTGTTACTTTTATAAACATCTTTGACTATTCGTCTTATTAAAAAAATTAAGTAATTATTAATTCTTTTCCTATCATTTGATTCATTGTTAAATATACTTTCATGTATACGTATAGTTTACATATTTCACAAAAATTTTTTGAATAAGACGAACGGTCAAACATATGCTAAAAAGTTAACGGCGTTAAACGTTTAGAAATGGAAGGAGTAGTTGGAATACGTTTGAACTGAGGATTCCGAAGAAATGAAATGCCAAAACAAGAGAAAAAGGGGACATGACAAACTCCGAAACAACGAACGGCATAATGGGCATCGATGACAGCATAGCCTGACAATCACTGCACTTGCGAAAGTACATGTACATCTATGTATATATATGCCTGTAAATAGTAGATAACATTTTTGGCATGTCCAGGATCTACCATATAGGGCTGGGGCTAAGTAAATTATGTGCTGGGCCAAATTATTATTGGACCAGGAGATATTGATTTGTCCATTAATTTCTTCTTCAATGGGCACACGGATTGTACCAGTGCAGGGTAAGCTATCCGACTCAGAAAATGAAATTACGATGTACATTCATCATCTGCATGTAGAGCCACAGCCAAAATTTAAATTTCAAAACTTGATTTTTAGAGTAAAATTCAAAGTTTATTTTTCAGCGTGGACTTTTAAACCTTAAAAAAAAACTTTTGCTCATAAATTACTTTTTAGTAGCTTAGTTCACTTCTCCATGGCCGTAGGTCCAGCAAATTTTAAAAATCCGTTTCTACACAGAATTTCCACAGCCAAAATTTAAAATTTAAAACTTGATTTTTAGAGTAAAATTTGAAGTTTTTTTATCGTAGTTTATTTTTCAGCGTGGACTTTTAAACCTTAAAAATAAAACTTTTGCTCATAAATTATTTTTATAGTAGCTTAGTTCACTTTTCCATTGCCGTAGGTCCACAACAAATTTTAAAAATCCGTTTCTGTACAGAATTTTTCGACCATATAATAATTGTTCACCTACAGTTCCGAATACTGTAGCATATCACTAATCTCACTAAATTCTCGTTAAAATCTCATCTACGTATGTCAAATATTTGTGAGCGCCAGAATTTGAACCCTAATGGGTGAAATCATGCAACTATGATTCCACCACATCATTGTGTTTCCCCCGCAATCCCTTTTCGTTTGTTCTTTCCACCGAAAATATATTTCAGGAGCACATCATGTAGATCTCAGATTAACCAATAATATGACCTAGATCTGGCTTGAATTACTATGTGATGTGGGGCCACATAATTCTACAATGAAGATGCTCGAGGTTCAATTATGCCATATTCGGGCAAAGATCAAATTACTCCTATTTCATTTTGATATGTTCAACTAACAGAGCGTGAATTATCAAACATATCTGAATAGATCACAATAATTTAGATATCTGAACATAGCAAACCATAATTACATGTATCTAAACACATCTGTGTTCCACATGACCAGCACATCTCATTTCGGGAATACAACAAAGTGTACAAAATGCTGCCGAATTTGAACCATGCAATCTCCTCATGCAAACCGAAGGAGATATATCAACTTATCATGAATCAAGGACCACCAATCAGGAGGGCATAATGTGCACAAGAAAGCTCTCTACAGATGACATCCTAACCATATTTGTGAAGAATTTGCAGTGCATGTGAGATTCGTGATAGAAAGATACTTTGCATATTGGCCACTTTGAAAGGGACAACACCTAAGAAGATCACTACATGCTAGACCTAAACATATGTACATTGACCACCGATATTATTTGTGCCAGCATATCGCGTGAAGTTTTGTATTGCACAATAATAACTCATCAAAGCTTAGTACACTAGTTCTTCTCTCAGAACCAACAAGGCCACGTTATCAATAAAAACTCATGTAGCTAGAGCCAGGGCCACGGCCAGCCCCTGAGCTGATCACTCAGTCCGATCTGATCAGACCCAACTCTCTTCAATCATCACTGAAACATGCATATGCCCCCCATTAATAACAAGATGGACCCAAACACAGAACTCTCAAGGAAAATAGAACATGTATACTTATGCTCCTTTCACATGTAGTCTCATCTAACTACTTTACAGTAGACGCGTTTCCATTATCTATGTGCCTGTATGGCAGGGTCCAGCTTCAGTTTCACCTCTCTTAGAGTTGAAGCCAACTAAATGGTTTCAGGTTCATAAAAAAAAAGGAGTGAAGTAGACTAGTGATCTAAAAATGAACTAGAGGAGTGGGTTAGGGTTCAGGACGCTCCATAGCTCTACTCCGAACTTCGCTTTTGGAGTTAGATTTTGGAGTTGGAGCCTTAACAAACATATCGTGCAACTAAAGCATTTCATCTTGCCATTAATCTTGATATAATTTTATGCATGATTTCTTCCCATATGTTAATTCTTCATAATCTAACCAATTTATGCATTATTCCTTCTGTCTTCAAATACTTGTTACAATGGGTACTATTCATCTTCAAACTGTCTTATTTGAAGGAAATGAATAGATATTTAGAGTGTGTTATATCCTAAATATAATCATGAACTTTCATACATCATGATCTAACCAGGGGCGGAGCTAGAACGAAAAGAAGAGAGATGCCACTCGCTTGCTTTACTCTATTTTAGACTGATATAAGTACATGAGTTTAGATTGAGGGGGTGCATATATGGTGAAAATAATTAACTATAGCTTAAAAAAATTTCTTGACCGAGTTCTTGGGCACCCCCTCTCCTACCTAGCTCCGCCCCTAGATCTAACCATAAAAAAATATTAATGGTAGGGAGTACAATTCACCCCATACTTGGGCCCTGTTTAGTTCACACCAAACTTCCCCCAAACTCCCAACTTTCCATCACATCACATTACATCCAAAACTTTCCTACTCACATAAACTTTCAACTTTTTTTCCAAACTACCAACTTTCCCCAAACTTCTCCCCAATTTCAAAAACTAAACACAGCCTTGCTTCAGCCAGAGTCGGGGCAGAATCCCAAATGCTCAGAATGCCTACCTACACATTGCAAAACACATGCAGATGATCAGATGGTGGGTTGAGTGGCATGCAGAGTTTGGAGCACCAGCACCTTCCACCACCTTGGTCCCTACTAATTAAGTTCCCTCCTCTGATATATCTCATCCCTATCTCCATCAATAACTGTACGCTTTATTCCATTTTTTTTCATCTACTCCATGAGTGACAAGATGATGAGGATGATCAAAGCATATAGATAGCATCATGGCAATTTGCAAAACATTATACCGGTACTTCCACCACACTCAAAATAGAACAACTTCTAACCTTTAAAATTTGTTTCAAAATACAACTTCTCCACTTATATACATTCTCTTATCAATCAATCATAACATTTTACCATTAAAATTCTCTAAATATCTCTCTCTTCAACAAATCATAATTTTCACCAATTTAATTTCATCAACTTTTTTAATAGTCTTGTTTAACCCTAAAACTACTTAGAAGTATATTTTAAGATGGAGGTAGCAGTAGTAGATACCAGTGTGGCTTGCAAGGACAGAATTGGGTAAAGTGCATGCTAGGGGACCAGGGCCCATGGAGGGCCTGCCTGACAAGGCGATCTGCATCGGCAAAAGCCTAGCTAGAGTCCAGAGAGAGAGTGGAGGCCCACTTGGAGATGGTGACGTCACCAGGCATGCACACGAGGTTCAGGTGTCACCGGACAAGGGGACCCACCTGCAGGTGACGAGAATCATTGATCATCACGCTAGCTAGCTCCCCGCTGCTGCTGGTCCGAGGCTTCACCCAAACTACGTCACTCTAGCTCTAGCTAGATCGATCATCGATCAGCTCAAGGAAAGAGATGAAAGAAGGGGGGTAATGTAGCAGTGGTTGATCCGTGGATCAGTCTGCATTCAGGTTACTGATTGGGCAGCAGCAGAGAGAGAGAAGCAGCAGTACAAGAACGGTGTGACGCACGTACCCGATGCATGCATCCAGCTGACAAGATCCAACGAGGCGTGTATCGTGCATCAGCATGCACAGTGGTTAGCCTGGTGGTAGTACTTTCTTCGTTTCAAAATAAACAAATTTAATATGAAATATAACATATGCTAGCATTGTATGTTCGTAGCTTTAGAATCCATCACATCTCTTACTAGGTTAGTTCCTCTCCAAGAAGAAAATCCACTATAAAATGGTACTACATTCGTCCCAAAACAAGTGCAGTTGTGGATATCCGTGTCCAACGTTTGACCGTCCGTCTTATTTGAAAAATTTATGAAAAAATTAAAAAAATTAGTCACACATAAAGTACTATTCATGTTTTATCAGTTTCTAATAAGAGTCAAACGTTGAACGCGAATAGTGTAAAACTGCACTTATTTTAGGACGGATGGAGTAGAGTACTACTAGATCGGATCAACATAGTTAGTTCACACAATAATATATTACTATATTTGTTTTCAGAAGTAATATCTCTATCTTTAAGTGTAACTTGTTTAGATTCGTAATAGTAGAATGTATATAATACAATCTTATGTTTGACGGAGGAAGCAGTAAACAAAGAAGCCACAAGAGGTAAGCTTATACGTACCGTAGTGACTGAGGTGGACAATTAATCACCGTTTCCAGCGGCATTATGCATTGCAAAGCTGTGACGATCATTCGCGCGCTGTGCAAAGTGTGTACCCCAGCAGCATGCGAGAAACTTGATGGCGTTTTGCTCCGAGGTCCACATGTACAGTAGAGATCGGGGACCTCATCCATCACCTTCACATCACCCCTGTGTGTGGCCCGCGCGCGTGGAGGAGAGCGCTGAGCTAGGCTGGACCGCCGGCCGGCTAGCCGGGGACCCCTGCCTCCGGCTCGCCGGCGCGGCGGCACGTGGACACCGGCGCCCGGCCCCAGCCAGTTACAGCACGCGCGCCTGCAACCTGCATGCCTCCTCCTCCTCGTCTTCGTCGTCGACAACCCGCCTAACAACGGCAGCAGCAGGGGACCAGAGAGAGATATATGTGAGATCAATTCATCAATGGAGGAGTCTAGCTAAGCAAACATAATGCAGCTTGATTAGGCCCCGTTTGGGTTTGCTCAAGATGATAAAGTACGGGGCACGCAGAAGGAGAAAACCACTAACACGTGATTAATTAAGTTTTTATTATTATTATTTTAAACTTGAGAAATGGATTTGTGTGATATTTTAAAGGAAAAAGTACGAATTACCCCCTGAACAATTGTGGTCGGCCGAATTACACCCCTAAACTTGAAAACTGGACATTTTACACCCTCAATTATCGAAACCGGACAAATAACCCCCCTAAACACTGTTTTGAGTGGTTTTGACTAGAAATTACACACGTGGCGCCAATGTGGCAATCCAGTCAGCAAAACAAAATAAAAAAACTCCCTGAGCCCACTTGTCGGACTAATTCCTCAACCCAATCCCTTCCGTCCGGCTCTCTCTTGCGCATGCGCTCGGACAAGGAAGCCGTCAGCGGAGGCGGCAGGCAGCCGGCGGTGGAGGCGGACCTCGCCCGTGCAGTGGGTGGTGGAGGCATACCGAGCAGCCGGCGGCGGAGGCGGGCCTCGTCCGGGCAGCGGTCGGCGGAGACGAACCCGGCAGCAAGCGGCGGAGGTGGACCTCGCCTGGGTAGCCAGCGGCGGAGGCGGGCCTCGCACGGGCGGATGGTGGCGGAGGCGAACCTGGCAGCCGGCGGCGGATGCGGGCCTCGCTTGGGCGACTGGTGGCGGAGACGAACCCGGCAGCCAGCGGCGGAGGCGGACCTCGCCCGGGCAGCTGGTGGCGGAGGCGAACCTGGCAGCTGGCGGCGGAAGCGGGCCTCGCCTGGGCGGCTGGTGGCGGAGGCGAACCCGACAGCCGATGGCGGAGGCGACTAACGCGGAGCTCGGGCTGCAGGCCGGTGCGGGACGAGGGTGACGGCGATGGGGCCAAGGCGGCGGTCCTGATGGCAACGACGAATGGGCTCCTCCTCTTATGCTCTTCTCTCTCTCTCCTCTTCACGCGCGCCGCGGCGCCGGCACGGCCCATGTGGGCGCTGCTCCAGCTCTCGAAGATGGATCATTCGGGGTGTTGTCGCAGCCGGCGCGTCGCTCCACGCCGACTATCCGCCATGCATCTCCTACCTCACCTTCGCCGCCAGCTTCGTCGACCCCCGCCCCTGCCACGACACCGAGTCCGAGATACTCGGCACGGTCTCCACCGACATCCACGCCACGAGCGGTGACGGCCTCGTCCTTGTCTGCTTCTGTGACTCCCGCAACCACGTCCCCACCGTCGGGAGCCGCGGCGGCGAGCTGATGCGCGAGTGGTCCGCGAGGAGGCAGTCACGCGAGCGGGACAGTGCCGGCGCCTGGTCGGCCTCTGCCTCCATCGTCGGCCGCCACTGCCTCAACCACCGGTTGCCCCGGCGAGCTTCTCCTCAGCCGCCTGCCGCCCGGGCGAGCTCCGCCTCCGCCGTCGACCGGCTGGTCCACCTTCGCCTGCAGAGCCGCCTGCCTGAGCGTGCACGCGGGAGAGAGAAAGAGAGCGACCGGGGAGGCGGGGAGAGAGAGGGGTATGACCGGTTGTAGGATCGAAATGTCGACTAGAGGGGGGGTGAATAGGCGATTTAAAACTAAATGACACATAATCAAAACTAACCTAAGTTGCTAGGCTTGGTGAGGGTGAACTCTAACTAAGCAACTAAGTTATGTTTTGCAAACCTAGGGTGATAGTGGCTCAATTATATCTCTAGGAAAGTAAATCACACTCCTATGTCAATGTTTAGCAATCCTAGGATAATATGATCTCAAGTATGTCTCTAGAAATGTAAATTGCACAAATGTAAATGCGACAATCAAATGAGACAAGGAGACGAGATTTTTCACCGAGGTTCGGAAACTCGCCGGTTTCCTACTCCCCGTTGAGGCGAGCCCAACTCTACCGCTCAACCACGAAGCCACCGCACGCCCCCTTCGTCAAAGGGTGGACAAGGCGGGAGCCGGCCCACGGAGAGGACTACCCAAGCCTCGATCACTAGGGTAGTTCTTCCTTCACTCCGAAGGTGGTGAACTCCAAACCACTCACAAACCGGCGCCGGGCCTCCTCCACAATCTTCTCGGAGAGGTCACCGGGCAACTCCTCCACAAGCCGTCTAGGAGGCGGCAACCTCCAAGAGTAACAAGCAATGACCCGGCGTGGAGATGATCAATCAAGTGCCACACTAACTCTACAATGGAAGCAAATGCACTTGACTCTTGGCTAGATCAAATCTCTAACACACTAGATGGATGAACACAAAGCTTAAGTGGGTGTGAGAGAGGTGTAAGGGGTGTATGCAATTGAATTGGGTGCCAAGAGAGTCCCCTTGCTGCTGGTGGGGGAGTATTTATACTCCCACCCACCAAAACTAGCCGTTGGGGGCGAAATCCCCCAATCATTGTGCTCTGCCGGTCTGACCGGAGGTATGTGGCCGGTCAGACTGTGCTATTCTGCAACGGCTAGAAAACTAGCCGTTGAAGTACAGTCAGAGGGCCCCATCGGCCTGGCCGGTCAGATCGGCGTTGAGTGGGCGGTCAGACCGGCCTCGGCTCGGTCAGACCGCCATCAACTCGGTCTAACCGAATATGGCTCCGTCGGCTCTGTATCGGCCACCCCAAGTAGCACCATCTCGGCCTCCAGGGGGCCGGTCTGACCGCGCATGGGCCGCCGGTCAGACCGGCCTTATGCACCAGTCAGACCGCCTTCTTGCGGCCGGTCAGACCGACCAGGGCACGCCGGTCAGACCGCCACTATGTGGCCGGTCTGACCGCCCCTGGTCAGGCCGAGCCTAGTGAAATTCCAAGTGATTGTGTGTGTGAGATGAAAAGCGAGCACAAGTCTAAATGCATAATGACCTAATGTGGCAATTAAAATCATCTCTTTGCTAGGTCATTACCCCTCTTAATAGTACAGCGAAACTAAAAAATAAACTAGCAAATTTGATCGCCCTTCACCTCGATCAATTTTAAAACTAAAACACTACTTTTACCGTTTTCTTTTCTTCGCTTCGCGCCATCAAATTTTAATCCATCGATAGTCATCCATGCGCACACATGACGTGGATCTAACTTAAAATGTATAGCTCAAAAGACAATGGTTAGTCCACAATTAGTGCTTGTCATTAATTACCAAAATTAACACCGGGGGCCTAGATGCTTCACCGGTGAGCCCAAGGGAGTTATTTTTATTTTTATTTGCTGACTGGATTGCCACGTAGGCGCCACGTGTGCAAACTTAAGTCAAAACCGCTCAAAATAGTGTTGAGGGGGGTAATTCGTCTGGTATTAAAAGTTCGGGGTGAGTAATGTCTGGTTTCCGGGTTTAGGGGGGTAATTCGGTCGACCACCATAGTTTAGGGGGTAATTCGTACTTTTTCCTACTTTAAATAAACTTTGATATAAAAGGTTTTCGCATGAAATACAATATTGTTTGACAGTTTGAAAAATGTGTTAACAAAAAAATCGAGATAAAACTTGTATTTTAGTTAGAAATAAAAGAGCGGGGGGCCTTACTTATGCCAGTCTGCGTGCCGAACTGTTCCGGTGGGGAAGGAGAAGAAGACGACGAGGAGCAGCAGTGAAAAGGACCAGCTATTGCTGCTGCTGCGATGATAATACGATCGATATGATGCATAGCCCCGTGACAGAAACTGCGATATGCAACTGTGCAAAAGTGATGCATCTACACAAAAGTTGTTCTTCATCTTGTTACCTGCTGCTCGCATTGCATTGCTGCTGAATGCTGACGATGATGATGAGTGATGATGGGTCAGGTTCGTGCAGGGACAACAAGCGGCTGACTCTTCTTGGTACTGATACAGTGCAGCTGGGTACGTACCTGTCCCGGGTGCTTTTCTAGCTCATCCAACTGGATCGATCTTTCTTTCAGGTACCCCTTGGAAGAGACCACCAGGATAAATATAAGTTAATTTGGTGTTTTCTGTTCACGCAAGAAGCCAACAATAATGTTACAATTAAAGAGATGTCATTGGTAAAAAAACGGAGATCAGGCATATGGAAATTATTAGCAGAAGTGTTATATTTATTGAGTTTAATACACCAACTACAACTAGCAGCTTAGCTAGAAGATTAAGCCAATGCGAAAAGTGAGCCGCAGTTTTAAAGAATTGACATCTTGTCTATATGTCCATATCATGAATAAATGAAGGATACAAAGAAAGCTGTGGCTGATGAACTGTAGAAACATGAATTAATTAATTAAAAATTCTATACAGGTAAAACCTTTATATTTGTACATTTTGAAAGCTAATGATGGAAAATAAAGAACAATGAGAAAACCACAAAATCAACTTAGAATTAAGTTTGACAATTTAAATTTGGATTGTAGTTAATAAGGAGCAGTTATCTAATTTGAGTACCACAATGCTCAAACTCAAATTTACTACTAGTTCGGTTAGGGACCCCACCCCACCTTCCATGCTTCATTAGTTCCTCTTAATACAAATAATGCAGTTACAAATTGAAATGTCAGGATTATGCCCGTACCCAGTAGAGGAAAGTTTAGTTTTTAACTTCAGCAAGCGACAAAAACAAGCTGAATATACCGGTTAATTAGTGACAAAAACAAAGATATTACTGTACTTTCTCTAATCAAACTTATATGATGTAGCGAAAACTGAGGTTAGTTTTTCCAACGTCAAATGTTTTTGACTAAAGAAAGTACTTAACTAACATGATGCAATAGAGCTGGACTCCATCAATGCAATTATCATCATGTCACTATTAAATACTCCCTCTATATTATAAATCGTTTGTTTTTTTGTCAAACTTTTTTTAGAAAATTATAGTAACATTTCCAATAAAAATAAACTTTGTATCAAAATATATTCGATGTTGAATTTTATGAGACTAATTTGGTATTGTAGGTATTGCTAATTTTTTTTATAAATTTGGTTAAATCTATAAAATTTTGACCAAGAAAAAAAATCAAACATCTTATAATATGAAACGAAGAGAGTAGTCCGCCGTATGAGGGGAAAATCCTCACCTGATCACACCATTGTAACCTGTGTGTGTTCATCCTTTTTAGGGCCTAGTATCAAACTCTCACTTTCTCTTTCTCGTGGTAATCAGGAGGGCCTTGCTTCCACTTTGTCTCCCCCCTTCACTCCTATAGGAGAGTGTACTCTTTAACCCTGACAGAGAGTAGTAGTAACATGACAGCAATGCAGGCCGGCCCTGCGACTGCGAGGGTAAAAAGGCATCTGAAAACATACCAGTTTTTCTCTGCCATCATCTCCTCCCCTGCCCTTCTCTATCACGTCAGTCAGTCTTTCTTCAGTGCGCCAAAACAGAAGAAAAAAAAAAAGCTCCAATCTTGAGATCATCTGCACCTCTCCTTTACGCATTCCCACAGCACACACCAAGATCTGTTCAAAAGATCTCAGATTTAGTCGCACCTGCATGGTACAGAAATTTAGGCAGTCGTCACAATACTGCAACATGACCATGCATTCATGCAGAATGCTGTTACAACAACTACTACTATAATGTTTATCATTAACCTGGGAAATCTTACACAAGAACGCTAATTATGCTAGTACTTGCCTACTAGGTCCAGGACCCATCAAGATCATGGCACTTGAGGCAATGAGATCTGCTACAATAACAAAAGTTTATTTTTTTTCATCTTCCATTGAATCAAAGCAAAGAGAGGCCAGAAACTAACCTGGATATATTAGTAGTTGAGGACATGTGTGCATTAGCCGCGGGCCACGTAGAATAGACATCACATTGGGTATTAGTTTACATCAACCAGCGACAAGCCACCACAAAAACAATCTTCGAAGTTCGTACATCTTAATTAAACCAACACCATTCCTAATAATAAAGGTGTTGTATATATGCTCCCCACGTCCATCATGCCGTTCAAGGCTCTTGGTCATACACACATACATCTGCATGATCCTGGCAAATATAAAAACGTAAGTACGTGGCCTCATGGAAAGGAACAGAGCCACACGGAATAACATAATGAGGAGCATTAGCATGTGTCCCCTTATCTAGAGTTTTATCTGAATATACAATTCTCCATAAGATACCAAATTCGTTCATGTGCATGGAGAAACACAAACCTGAATTATCAAACGATTGGGCAGGTGAGCTGCATGATTGAAGCTTGTAGGATGAAGAACCTGCTGCGTGGCTCCCTAGCTCCGATCCTCATTGCCACCTTTAAATATGATGCACTTGGGGCAACAATTCACAGCCAGTGCATGCATATGCACTGTCCAGATGCTATGCCTTGCCTGCAGATGGGTACCAGTTTAGTAGTTCTGATCTGGTGTGTTCCTCCACTCTTCAACAGATACGTACACAGCTATACAACTGAAAGTACAGTACACTGCATCATTTCTTCTTGGTCAATGTTTTGACAATGATGCAATTGTCAATGACTATATTATGTAGTATATGTTTAACTACCATCAGAATCAGAGGCCCTGTTTCATAATTTTCAGGCAAATCCTTCCACTGAGTTTTATAAGATGCAACGAGATTAATGCATGCCCTTTCTTTATTTTCAAGAGTCTAGTATTTCACAAGAGTAGAGACATGCATACATCAGCTGAAGTTCAGAACATAGTAGTACAAGGTACAGACAACCTATGAAACATGAACTACGAAATTTCTCTTTTCGAAGATTAAGAAAGAGTCGAAATATCTTGAAATAAATAATAAGCATAACCTTCTACATGATATAAGCATAACCTTAATGAATTAACTAACTTCTTTTTAAATAAAAATAAAAATAGAAAATCTGGCCTCTTAGCATTCTAAGGCTAAAAATCTAGTTTAAAGTTAAAAAAAACCGTCTTTATGTAAATTAGGCTCCATCATTTGCATGAGACTGCAATCGAGTAACCTCCATGACTTTTCTTGACAAGATTCCATAAGAAAACATGCAACTTGAATTTAATCATGCATGTTTTCACAGCCCAAGAGATGCTAAGCATAGACTCATCATGCTGACAGAGAGATTTACTATAGTAGTTTAATAAAAGTGGAGTATTATATATCATGCATGCGGTTAACTAATACTACTGGAGTATTACATATGCAGCAGATGAAGCCATGTAGGTGGTGATCTTTATTGCATATCTGATAGTACTATCTCAGGCCCTGTTTAGTTTCCACACGAAAATTTTACACCCTATCACATCGAACGTTTGAATACCTGCATGAAGTGTTAAATATAGACAAAAAATAACTAATTGCACAGATTGCGACTAATTTGCGAGATGAATCTTTTAAGCCTAATTGCTCCATGATTTGATAATGTGGTGCTACAGTAAACATTTGCTAATGACAGATTAATTAGGCTTAATAAATTCGCCTCGCTATTTACTGCCGGATTCTATAATTAGTTTTTTCTATTAGTGTCCGAATATCCCATACGACACCCTTTATAATACTCGATCTGACACACCAAAACTTTACACCTTGGATCTACACACCCCCTCAATGTGCATGCATGCACAGAGAAAACAATAGCAGAAAACTTCTAGGGATTAGTAGTGACTACGAGGACCAGGAGTTGTACACGCAACAGCAGGGGGTGAAGGAATTGGGGACAAAAATTTGCATCACCCCATTCATGAGGTTATTGGAAATTGGAGAAGGGGGATCTCTGCGCAGGTCCAATCTTGATCCTATTTCCCATTTCAATGTTAGAATATTTTGACGTTTGGGAACTTGGAGCCCCCGGCAACACCAAGGCAGAACAGGTAACGCCAAGGTCACGTGAGATAATAATAATCATGTATTTGCTCCAATTTTCCTGGTGCTAGTTAGGCCAGGGTAGAAGAAAACATAATGTTTAGATGATACTGGTATTTGACATATGATCTGGATGGGTGATGTTGTGCTAATTGAAAATAAGAAGCAAATAATAAAATTAATGGAGCAATTACCTATGAGGAGATCCGTTAAATCACCGTTATGATTGGATTCTGGACAAAAAAACGCCCCATCTTGGGCCCTCCGGTTTCTCCAAAGGCTGACAAACTGAATAATACTTGGCCATTAGTATACATCAGTGAGCACACAATGTATCTGACCATGTGATGGAATACTTGTCTCCAAAGAAGCAAGCAAAGCGACATTGCTGATTTTATCGTTAATATTTTACAGAATCTGATACAGATCTGTCGTTAAAAAAAATATAAAGAACAGATCATATTATGTTCTGTATTCCAATCCTCCAGCAGCAAGAGGTGCCCCCCCAAAATGCCCTAATGAAATGATAAAGAACCACCACTGATCTTACTTATTACTATTAAGGTTATCATCCACACAAGAAGAAGCAGAGTAATGACCGATGGCTTTACTCCCACGCAAGCACACACACTCCTTACAAGTGGAATTGTGTGTGTCCTGAGCAGGGTAGGTTGTCCTAGGGCAAAGGTTTGAATGGAAACAATATCTTACAGCCAATTCAATTCATTGTGTGAGAATCCAACCAAAACCAGCTTGTAACTTGCAAGTCTTGTCCTCTTAAGGGGTGGTCAGCACACATTCAATGAGACAGGCCTCCTGACAAAACCCCTTGATTGTGTTGAATCTGAGATCAAAGAAATGGCTGGTTGCTAGTAGTAGGAGTACTCTACTCCATGGCTGTGCATGATAATTAGAGCACACAGCCCATACACCTCAAATGTCACATCTCTCACAAGAGGCCTCTACCCTGAACAAGTTATTGCCTACTCCCTCTGTCCAAAAATAAGGCAAACTATGGGTTTTCGTGTCCAACTTTGACTGTCCGTCTTATATAAATTTTTTTATAATTTGTATTTTTATTGTTGTTAGATGATAAAAAATGATTAATATTTTATGCGTGACTTGTCTTTTTAATTTTTTTCATAATTTTTTCAAATAAGACGGACAGTCAAACGTTAGACACGGAAACCAAGGTTTGTCTTTTTTTGGGATGGAGGGAGTACACCAGCTATTTCAAGTGGACCACAAATATAAACTGCTGCCAATCTATCAATCCACCCCTTTTAGCTAGTAAATCTATACTAAAATTCCATGTCTTTCTCCACAGGTTAAATTGCAATGCAACAAGAACAAGCCTCCTCATTCATTCAGTTCCAAATGAACAGTGGGATAGACTTGGGTTCCTTACCCAGGACTTCCAAAGCCAAATCGAAATTTGGTGCCCTGCAGCAACACACCAGGAAGCTAAAGGAACCTGGACCTCTACAAGTTAAAATGGGGAGTTAAGGACAGTGGTCATACATGCATATGCATAGGCCCCCAACCACCCATGCACATGGAAAGCAATGGTAGGGTCTACCCCCCTGGATGGCTGTGATTAGGCCACAATGGCCAGGCACCAACTTTTAAGTACCACCACCTGATCATTCCTCATCACCTACACTCAGACTATATATTCTAACCTCACCACCTTTGAACCCCCCTTCACTTTGATTCTTCCTGTCTACCTAGGTTAAAAAAACTCCCCATCTCTCTCTCTCTCTCTCTCTCTCTAGAGATCTAGCAGTAATACATGCATACACCAAAAGAACCTCATGTACTAGTAGCAAATATCAATACATAAAGCTCTACACTTCTACTACTAGTATAGTTGGAAGGCTATAAATGCCTAGCCATGATATGTGCATGGTTCTCTACACAACACACCATCATCATCTTCATCTCCTACCTCCTCTCCTCTCCTCTCCTCTTCTCCACTACCCAACTTTTGCTCCCAACACATCTTTGTTTCGATCGACCGATCGATCAGCTCTAGCTCAGCCGCAGCAATGGCCATGCACCCTCTCGCCCAGGGGCACCCCCAGGCGTGGCCATGGGGTGTAGCCATGTACACCAACCTGCACTACCACCACCACTACGAGAGGGAGCACCTGTTCGAGAAGCCGCTGACGCCGAGCGACGTCGGCAAGCTCAACAGGCTGGTGATCCCCAAGCAGCACGCCGAGAGGTACTTCCCGCTCGGCGGCGGCGACTCCGGTGAGAAGGGCCTCCTCCTCTCCTTCGAGGACGAGTCCGGCAAGCCATGGCGGTTCCGCTACTCCTACTGGACCAGCAGCCAGAGCTACGTGCTCACCAAGGGCTGGAGCCGCTACGTCAAGGAGAAGCGCCTCGACGCCGGCGACGTCGTCCACTTCGAGCGCGTCCGCGGCCTCGGCGCCGCCGACCGCCTCTTCATCGGCTGCAGGCGCCGCGGCGAGAGCGCGCCCGCGCCGCCGCCCGCCGTTCGCGTCACGCCGCAGCCGCCTGCCCTCAACGGCGGCGAGCAGCAGCCGTGGAGCCCAATGTGTTACAGCACGTCGGGCTCGTCCTACGACCCTACCAGCCCTGCCAATTCATATGCCTACCATCGCTCCGTAGACCAAGATCACAGCGACATACTACACGCAGGTAACTAACTAAACACGCAATTGCATATCTAGTAGTAGAAACTCAAGAACAAATTAATTAAGCACTTTGATACTATAATTAACATGCAACTACAGCAAGTGATTAAAGATCATATACCTTTCGCGGTGGAACAATTTGCAGGAGAGTCGCAGAGAGAAGCAGACGCCAAGAGCAGCAGCGCGGCGTCGGCGCCGCCGCCGTCGAGGCGGCTCAGGCTGTTCGGCGTTAACCTCGACTGCGGCCCGGAGCCGGAGGCGGATCAGGCGACGGCAATGTACGGCTACATGCACCACCAGAGCCCCTACGCCGCAGTGTCTACAGTGCCAAATTACTGGTCAGTATTTTTTCAGTTTTAACAGCCATCTAGAATTACAGTTGCAGCATTAAGCTAGTAGAGAACGAACTAGAAATCAAATGACAGCAACGACCAGCACTTCTCCAAATCAAATTCAATTGTTAATTCTAAGGTTTTCAAACAATTCTCTTGTTTTTGCACAACAGGGGCAGCTAGTTGATGAGATGATGAGGAGATCTGAGGCCTTTGCTTGCAGAATCCTAACCACCAACAGTGAAACTAGTTACTACTACCACCAGCCTACTACTACTACACTCTGAACCAAGTGACAGGTTCGATTGAATTGACCTGTTGGAAGGGAAAAAAGAAGAAGGAAGTGGGGAGAGATCCCTTGTTTCCCGGGCAATCTTCCTTCCATGAATCATCAGAGTGCCCCTTTTCCTGGGTTTTTTTTACATTCTTGTCTTCCAGAAACCCTACTTACAGTACGGGGGCCCTTGCAGCAGGTGGGGAGGTTTCAGGAAACATCAGGTTGAAAAGGAGAGGGAGGAGAGAGATGGTGACACACCATGAGAAACAAACAGGAGAGAGAGAGAGAGAGGAAAAATTGACATGTTTTGCAAGTATGTATGTGTCATCTGTAGTATGTGACTGTGAGTGGGTCCATGAACAAACTGTGAAGTTGATGTATCCTTCTCCTGCTGCCTCCCCTGAACCTGAAGAAACAAAGTAATACCCCAATGGGGATTTTGTTCTCTTCCCCTTTTCTTCTACCACTACTACTGTTTCTATACATGCATGAATGACTCTTCTACTGTTCTATACTTCTACATGCATGATGCATGAGTTGTTCTTTGTTTTAAAAAAATAAATTTAACCTCGTGCAATCAATTCATTCAATGCTTTCACCTAATAATGAGTAATGCAAGGAGGAGGGGGGCATGTGCAGTGCATTTCTCCTTCTCTAAGCAACAGGGTGGTGGTGATGCACTAGCAGTAGTAGGAGTAGTGAAATTATGGAGAAAAAATTCATAGTAGATGCCCCAAGGACCATTAAAGAAGTGATGTGCCACAAGCAATGCCGACACCTGGGGATTTTCATGTCCTGATCTTTTACTAGTCTATTAATGGCCGGTCTCTACCTTTCTGTTCCCTCGGGAAGGAAAGGCACAACAAAAGTTAGAGTGTACAAGTGGGCTCAATTTGCCCTAATAGGATACAAAGAAAAAAAGGCTAGCTAAGTTGATGGTCTAAGGCACACAAAAAGGCCACTAAACTCCAATAATCCGCCAGATTCCCCACACAGCATGCAGGTATCAAAAGATTAAAAAAAAATGGAGATCTGTCTCCTGCTTTTGTTGCCTATGTTAGAAAGGTTTGTACGAGGCTAAACCACAGATTTATTGCTCTGTCCGGTCAATAATCCAAAGCAGCAGATGCCTGGAGAAAGGAACATGGAGGCCTAACTGAACTGACGTGGTGCTATCAGCCTCTTAATTAACTTCAGGCAGTTACCTCGTGTCAACTAATGAAACACAACCATAGCTAATTAAAACAAAAGTACTCCTACCTGAAGAATCTAGAGTGAAAGCTTTGCATTACCTAGCTAGGCCACCAAGCTAATTTGGAGGCAAGAGCACCACTTGGTATGTATGACGACTGAGCAAGCTGCAAGTTGCCCTAAGAAGGTAGGTACACAATTTCTACATGCAGGACAGATTAAGTATAAAACTAAGGTTAGTACTAGAATAGAGATTTGATTAGGAAAATAAAGAATGAGATGCAGGTCTCAGATTCATCTGAATGGGGGGCTTCCTCGCGGCAATTGTGCTAGTGATGATTAAACTTAATAGGTTAACTACCGTATCAACAGCAAGATTTCCTGTCTGCTTGCAAGAACCGTAGCCATGTGCAGGGGGAGCTCTCCCTAATGACAAAAGATGAACCTTATCCGAGGCACTCCAGGGTTGCATGATTAACGCCTTTGAACCCCAAATAATATATCTTAGCATTAGCAGAAAAGAGTCATGTGAGTGCCATAATGATAAAGTAGACCCTCACTTAGTCTACTTAACGCATACCGAGAAAAAGGATCTGTTTTTTTATATATAACAAAAAGGAGGCCTTGTCAAAGGAACAACTGCCAAGTACAGACTAATCACGTCATCTATGTTAAAAATATACAGCTGATTGTGCATCTCTGTCTGGAACTAAACCCCTGTCCTACCTGCCTAATTTTAGTCTCTACTCAATGTAGTTACTGCCAGGGATAGAGAATACAGGTTTAGGCAAAAAAAAAATTAGGTGGGTTAAACCAAAGAATTACTAAACACGATGCATGGTGGTGAGCAGGCAATAGAATTAACTACCACATGATTAAAAACGGTTATACGAGATGAGATTGAGGATGCGTCACATGAGTGACTCAGTGACCCACACACCCTTGGCTACTGGGACTACCAGAACCTGACCCACAAAACTGGATGCAGCCATGCAGGGGCCCAACTCAAAAACCGGACCTACAAGACGCTATGATATACCCACCACCAACACCAAGGAAGGCATCACTACTGCATCATCAGCCACAAGGCCAGAAAGCCCGCAAGATCCCATTTTTCGCTACAAGAAGCTGCTGCCTTCATGTAGATCATGAATGGGCATGGTCCACAAAGAGATGGCTAACCCAGATGAATGGTCATCTCTTGTAGGCATTATTTGCCCTTTTCCTGAGTACTACCTTCAAGTGGTTCTAGACGCCAGCTTTTGTACACAAACAGTACTTTCCTTGAAAAACAGGTGTATCATGCGCATGGTGGACCAGTATTGGACTGTAAGGACCAAAGATATGGCCGGTTCTACCATGATAGAGAAAACTATAGAACAGTCAGTAAGTTGGTAAGGGTGAGAAATGACAAGGACAAACATTTCCCCTATGTTATGCCGTAAGTATAGACAGTGAAAAGATGTTTTCAGTCGTTGATGACAAATGCCTTGACGTAGCAACATCATAAAGTAACTGATCATCATGATCAAGAGAATATGACAAATTAGTTTTTTAGGAGTACACTTGTCGACATCCTAGCGTAACCAACAGCTCAGGTTTTGTCTATTATGACTGATGAACATATTAGAGGCTTTTAGGTAATGAAAATCTGAACCAATGCGCTTGCTGTTTTTGTTCCAGAATATCAATAATTTGCCATACTGAAGACAACACTAGATAGATAGTAGAAGACTATTACTACGAAATTAAAAGCTAAAAAGGAAAATCTGATACTCCCACCATACGATTAAAGTTTCAGGGAAATCTGGTTGTTAGTTGTAAGCAGAACAAAAGAATTGCAAGAAACAAACAAACTACAAGCTCTTGTATTTAAGACCAACAAATGCTAGAGTACAATTATGTGGAATGCAATAAAATATACTGTATTTAAATACAGCACAAAAATGTATAGAAATCGCAAAGGACATGATAGGAGCAACAGAAGAAAAAGAGAGCGAGGAATACCACTTTCCAGAATTCATCATTTTTGGAGTGGAAAAATGATGAGAAAGATTCGATTATAGGAGCGTAGATGAAATGTGCATCCAATTGTGCAGTTCAATTAACTTCAGAGCACTAGTACAAACCAAATAGTTTCAATTGCAACTTCTGTAGGCTCTGAAATCAATAAATGTTGAGGTCAGAAGAAATCCATTTCCCTGAATATGTCTAATAAAAAAAAATCTTCCGGTCCATATTTTCCCATGTATATTTTCATATATACAAAACTTGCATCGATCTACTTCCCATGAAAGCATGTCAGTGCAAAAACCAAATCATGGATTTTTAAGTGGCTTGCAATGCATGATAAAATCACTGTACAAGATAATATCTTTGTAGGTCGCACAATCTATTCAGTATCTCATATAAATAAGGACTCACATCTGTGCTTCCATTTGCTATGCACAGTTCAGATGATTGTGTTGATATTACACCAAATGGGGCCAGCAGCATGACATTATTGACTTGGGTGACAAAGAATATCAATATAAGTCCTGACACAGATCTTTAGTGCGGCAGTGCCACTACTCACAGGGCAATAATTTTCTACATGATGAGGGCACCGCTGGTAGATGATTGGTATTCCTCATTCAGTCCTAGATCACCAGAAGTCCCCACAAGAACATGAGCCATCCTTAAAATGGTGAAATCTATTGATATCTCTGACAATGACTTGGCGTTCTGTAATACAGGATACAATCTTCATAAAGGAATGACAGTCTCCGCAGATCCTAAGGTTCTTGTATATAGTAATTGGTATATTAGGGGGCAAGCTGATTAAACCAAAAGCAAATGCTAGTTTCTCACTGTGGTGTTTAAGTAGCTCCTCTTTTTGGTCAGCATGCACATCATGCAGATCACATTGTGTGTTGGCTCTGTGAGAAATCTTTCTCATCTCATGGTAAATTTCCTCCAACTTATTGTATACATCAGTTATTCCTGGGTGTTCTCTCTCTCCAGCAACAAAAACATGAATCTTGCCTTTCGCCTCAATCCAACTCCTGCCCATCTCTTTTTTAGCACCACTATCCCTCAAATACTTCCTTGCAACAACAACATTCTCCCAGTTTCCACTGGCAGCATATACATTTGATAGCAAAACATGGTTCCCTCCATTTTCAGGCTCAAGACGGAAAAGCTGTTCAGCTGCTATTCTGGCTAATCTAATATTCTTGTGGATCCTGCTTGATCCAAGCAAAGATCCCCACATAGATGCAGTTGGTTCAAATGGCATTTTATCAAGTAATTTCCAAGCCTCATCAGTCTTCCCAGATCGCCCCAAAACATCAACCATACAAGAATAGTGAAGGACATTAGGTTCAGCGGTCCGATCAGACAATAGCAGGTTAAAGTAGTGACGGCCCTCTTCAACTAAGCCAGTATGACTGCATGCTGACAAGATGGAGAGATAGGTAACTTCGTTTGGAAAAATCCCCACCTGCTGCATTTTCTCAAAGAGAATCATTGCTTCCCAAGAATGAGCATGCCTAGAAAAACTAGCAATCATTGCATTCCATAAGACAACATTCTTTTCTTCCATATCAGCAAATACTTCATATGATTTTTCAATCTGACCACACTTTGCATAGACATCCACAAGAGATGTTGCTACAAAGAGGTTCCTATGAAAACCATGCTTAACAATAACTGCATGCACCTGTGTTCCTTCAATTATCAATGCTAAGCTTGCACATGTGCTGAGGATAGATGAAACAGTGAATTCAGTCAATTGCATTCCTTCCCTTTGTGTACTCTGAAATAAACACAATACCTCTTCATGGAGACCATTCTGCACAAATCCTGCAAATAATGAACTCCATGTAACTGAAGTTTTCTCAGGCATATTCTCGAAAACCCAGCAGGCATCCTTTATCATATTACACTTTGCATAAACATCAAGAAATGCAGTCCCAACAAAACTGCTAGAATCAAGTGCAAGCTTGATGGCAATAGTGTGTAACTGTTTGCATTCAATAATAGCATATTTCGCAGCACATGCGCAGAGAGTGCTGGATAAGGTAAATTCGGTCATCTGGGTCCCTTCTCGGTGCATTCTTGAAAAAAGCTTCAGTGCTTCTACATCCTCTCTATTATGAGTATATCCAGCAATCATGGTATTCCAAGAGATTATGCTTCTGACAGACATTGCATCAAAAACGCGACGAGCACAATCATTCTGGCCACATTTTGTGTACAAGTTGATGAGAATATTGCATGTGACAGTATCAGTTACCAGCCCAAAATGAATGGCTAATCCATGGCAGCTTTTCCCAACTAAGAGGGACCTCCTCTTTGCACATAACTGCAGAAGTTCATGGAGTGTAAACACGTCAATCAAATCCCTCTCGACCCTAACAAGATTTTTATCCTTGTGGACAATCCTGTGGTTCGGCTTGTCACAGAAAGCACGAGTAGCAAAATAAATTCCAGAGCATGCTAAAGTAAGAGCCTTGGTCCTTTGGCATAGAGGATGGTAGTGAAACCAAATGCCCATCCATGCAAATCAACTGCTCATACGTTCATAATTATACTTCAAGCTAACTTTTTACCAATTGACTTGGTTTGATGCACTGATGACACAAAAAGCAGCAGCTAATAGGAAAGTTTGGATGCTTGCCTGCTGTTAAGAGCACAGGATCCGTTGTGGCCTGAAATGATAATTTCTCTTGTTAGTTCACCTTCAAAATTTGAGAGTTTGATAAAACCTCTGGTAGGAAGAGAATGTCAGCAACAACGATGTGATATTCGCCATACTTCGATTTTTTTTTTCAATCCTGTTGCATGAAATTTGATCAGGAAAAGGATGCAAGTTCTCATGAAAAAGGAACTCTAAAATGTTACAGATTTTCACTAGGCAAGATAACAAAGATATAAAACAGATTAAGGAGCAGGGAATTCTAATGCCTGGTGAGCTTCTGGGTTTAACACTGATGGACTACAGAATGGGGTTGCCATTTTTACTAGCCCTTTGAAGCGAAATAGCATTTCAACAGTAGTAGAAACCCGGAGAAAAATTAGTTCTATGTCTCAATTCCGAATGCTCAACATCACATCACTGTTTTATTCAAAGCAGTGCAAGATCATGTTCCAGTTCCATCCATCTGAAATAGCGCGCAGACACCGCACGCTAGCATGCAAACACAAGTAGTAAACCATAAAACAGGGAAACGAAGAGGCTTACGCTTACCCACATACCTCCCTCCCTCTCTCTCTCTTTCTCTCGGCTGGGCATTCCGTCGAACACCTCCCGTGCGCCCCGCGCGCGAACACAGCAGCACAACCACCGCAGGGGGGAAGCGCCAGCCACCACGCGCCTCCGCTCCAGGGGGGTTGAGGGGGGCGGGGGGAGCGGGCAGGATCTCCGGGAATCCTCGCGGGTGGAGGGGAGATGACCTGCGGATCGTCGCGCGGAGTGGAGGTGGGGGAGGAGGAAGACGAAGCGCGGAAGCGAGAGGCGGCGGGAGTGGGAGGAGCGGAGCGGATTAGGAAATCAGAATTTTGGGGGGATTTGGGGTTGAGGCCCAACTACGTTATGTGGGCCGAAATTTATAGAGAGGCGAAATTATCCACACAGGCCTTAGTTGGAAAGGCCCAAAATAAAGTGTTTATAGACAAATGGGTTAGGAAACGATGATTTGTTTTTGAAGCTCCATTGTGAATCCATTTATCGTTAAGGCCCGTTCGTTTCTGAGTAAGATACATATTTTACCTTATTTTTCGTTAACACATTTTTTAAATTGCTAAACTTTCTCTATAAAAGCTGCTTTAAAGCATTAGATAAATCTATTTTCTAAGTTTGAAATAATTAAAACTTAATTAACCATGTGCTAATGGCTTTCTCATTTTTACGTGCATGTACTTAATCTTTATTTTCATCACTACCTGACGAGGCCATATTAAGTTCATATTCTAGAAAATGAGCCTCACTTCTATGGCTTGCCTGATCTTAGTGAACTAAGTTGGATTTTTCAGTGGGTAATGTTACTCCCGTATCTAACCAAACAGTTACAGCGGTATAGATTAAAAAGACGATGGTAGCCATTAGGTGACGAAATGGATTTTGAAATTTATTGATATTATCTAGAAAAGATATTATCCATAAGTATGTCGGCATTGAAAGCATTATAAGAACACCTAATAACCTATTAGGTACCATCTAATAACAGTTCAACTTACCATACCAAACTTTAGGCTGCTGCATCTTTTAACCTTTTGTTTGGTTCATTGCTACAATTATGACTTGCCACACTTTCTTAGCACATTGCCCCTCTTGTCATATACTCAATCGTTTGTTCACCAATCATTTAGTTGTTTGATAGTAGGGTGTATATCAAACAACCACAATACGATTAGCTACGAGCATGACACGTCGGATAACCTATCGAACAACCATTGTTCAATAAAGGTTGCTGGACTAATTACACATTCATGTAAGGTAAAAGCACATGCATGTAGTGGCCAACAATAATAGGCCATGCACATGCACCATGAGTTTTCAAGTTGTTTTTACCCTGCAACCCCTTTCAAACAACCAAAGTTCGACAATGTGCTAAACTTACAATTTTAGCCAACAGATCTCTACTTTTGCAATTTCTCATTTAAATGGTGTTGTTTCTAAAAATAGTTCTACAATTTGTAGGGAAAAAATTATGACAAGCCACACTTAACTAAAGTGAGTTATGATTTATGACAATGTTAGTAACCGAACAACCCTTACATGCAAAAGTACGTAGAAGTACTACTAGAAAAATGTCACGGGAAATTCTACTATGCACATAAGCTTTCCGTACACACTCCGTGCACACCAATTAACAAATGTTACAAAAAAACTAAAAAAATAGACATATACTCTTAATAGTATTACATATATCTGCAAAGTCTCATATTCAAATTCATTATATTTTAGCTGTAACAAAAAGTGAAAAATCTGACAGTTTTAAGGGTGAAAATTTGTCAGAATTTTGTCTTTTTTGTTATGGCTGAAATATAATGAATTTGATGATAATATTTCACACGTGGATGTAATACTATTGGAACATGTGTCCAATTTTTTCTAAAATTTTCTGTGATATTTGCTAGTTGGTATGCACGGAGTGTGCACGAGAAGCTTATATGTATAGGATATGTTCTCTAGAAAAGTACTATATAAAACATCGTTGGGCCACACGGGTTCCCCATAATAATTACGTCACATCCTTTTGCCTAATTTTTGCAACATAGGTTTAAATTTAAAAAGGTACCAAACACCAAAATATCGAAAAGCCATTGCACCAAATCTTTACTAGGATTTGAGGAGGCTGGTGTGATTTTCCACCACTATACAAAGAATTCTATCTTTCCAATAGACATTTTCATGATAGGTGGAAAGGTAAGTACTTAAAAAAATGCAACCTGAAACTTTTCTTTATGAAAGACAATGCTGGAGAAGTTACTCCCAAAATATCTCCAGAGACCTTCAAAACTTTTATAAACAACCCACCTGGAGATATCGATGGATGGGCATAGAACATCAACACTATCACCAACCTTTTTTATTGAAGGGGAAAAGACACACATACCACTGAAACTTCGTACCACGAACATGGTTAACTCATAACTGTTTTTTCATGAGATGGTGACGCAAACTACACTTGATGCTGCATGATTAAGTTATCCTATAGCTTAATTTAATGAAAGCTAAATCCATTGCCCAAATCTTTGCCTTAGCTACAAGTCAATCTGAATTCTGAAAAGCTTTGGATGCAGGCACAAAGTAACAGTTGTTTTGTGCTGCCTACCGAAGAATCAATAATACTTTCACCTGTCGAACACTTGCAACATTCAGAACAGAGGCTGGCAAAAAAAGAAACAAAAAAAAATCCATAAACTGATGCATAATTTCTGCAGTGTTGGCATGCAATCTGCAGCTTGTTACATTCACGCATCGATTTGGACATCGGAGTTCGGTATTGTGCACTTTGTCAGTGTTCTTTCTTGATGTCTGCCTGACTCTGCAAAGTAAACGCGTCCAGATGCATCATTCTACAGGCATTGTGCATTATGCCACTATCTTATACTGTAATACAATCTGATTGCGATTTGCACAAACTGTTACATACCTGTCAAACTTGCAAAACATGTGTCATATATATATGGTCAAATACAAAGAGCATTTGATGGAATATGATCCTCTTTGTTTTTTTTTTACAAAAAAGGAATGATTTGCATACTTGCATTTCTTTCTATCAATTGCAAAGCTCTGAATATTTCAGGGAAGAGAAAAATTCTGAACAATTGCATTCCAGTGCGCCATGCCCATGCTTCAACCAAAGACAGAGTATCTATTCTTTCAGAAGGTGCAAAGTAGTAGCACAGTGAACCAAATACTAACAACCAGCTGCATTATTGCATAGGCAGCCCATAAGATTTGGTCTAAAGCACAGGGAAAAAGCCATGATCACATGCCTGAAATTGAATAGATCCTTCTTGGCCATTGTCAAAGCTTAGATAAACCTCAAAAATTTGTCGGCAAACGAAGACGAACACCAACCGATAAAACTTCTGAAGAACAGGATAGAGTGCGTGCTGTATCTGTCACTCTGCACTTTCAGAAGTTTCGGTTAAGTGGTGAATTGATGGAGGTGGAAGAAAAGTAAAAATTTCTTTCAGCCGCCCTCTGTTGCTTAGTGGATACTAGATTTGATTCAGAGGGAAAGAGAGATAGAGAGAGTTATCTGATGGACAATCAGGAGCTTTCAGGTATTCAGAGAAAAATTCAGAGCATGCTCAAAAAGAAAGAGAAGCACATAGTGGCAGGTTACTATGCTGTCCCTTCTGCATCAATACGTCATGCAGGATAATCAACAGTTACATGCATATATATCTCGTTATTTTGCCAATCCAGTTGTGACTGATATAGGTAAGAAAGCTCTCTGATGTCAAGTACAAAAGATATGCAAATGCAGACAAAGCAAAGTAGCTGAATTGTGGTTCATCCATTGCCTGAAGAGATCAGTGGAAGGTCTGCTCAGTGCTCAGAAGCATAAGGATGGTTTTGGGATGGTTCTTTCTTCCAACATGTATCATCAACTTTTGATTCCATCCTAAGATAACATCTTCAATCCTTACCCGAAAACTTATCTTTACTTCTTCACAGCGAATGATTCAGAGAGCAAAAGTGGCATTTTGATCCTTCAACGATTGGTTGCTTAATTACCTATCAGAAGATCCATGGAAAGTGTTGTCATCATTTCGATTGAAGTAGCATATTTCTGTACATAAAAAGTACTCCAATATATATAATGTGCGTCAGTGCAGTGTGAAGATGATGAAGGCATGAAAAAAAAACCGGCAATCCAACCCTGTTTTGCACGAGCGTTGTTAGCACGAATCCAACTGAAAAAAGGCATGCGAATCCATGAATCTGATGCATGCAAGATATACATATGCATCGTCTGTTATCTCATCATCAATATGATCTATGAAAGATTAGCATCGAGATGTAGATAATGATTGCTGCAATCTTAGTAAAAATGGCACACGACCAACCAATCAATTAGTAGCAAAAAAGAAAAAGGATATATGGAGAGGTGTAGAGTAGAGCCAGCTCAAAGAATGCATATATATCCTTGCAAAATGGACGTCTCTATCTTGTGCTACTGGGATAATCAGCTCGTGCCAAATGTGTGTGCAGCAAGAACAGTGCAGCAATGGTGGATTCTGGATTTGGGTCTATCCTGAGAATCTGAACAAGGATGTAATCCATTTGCTTGTACGGCTCGATCCGGCCCTTCTTCTCCGAGCTGTGTAAAGCTTCTCGCGTTTCTGTTGATAAATAGTTTCAGATTTCGCTAAAAAATATAGTTTCAGATAACAATGCTGATTGTCACATATTCACAGAGGAGGAGGATGCAATCATGTAAACATTCCCTCCGTACCGAAATGTATGACGCCGTTGACTTTTTTTATAGTATCTGACCATTCGTCTTATTTAAAAATTAAGTATTAATATGTAAAAGTATAAGTTGAGATTATATTTTCTTTGATGATGAAACAAATCACAACAAAGTAAATAATATTTATATTTTTTAATAAGACAAATGGTGAAACGTTATGCAAGAAAGTTAGCGGTTTTATATATTTTGGGACGGACAGGGTACTTTGCTTCAGTTATACTACTTCAAGTGATAAATATTTGACGTTTAGTATGAGAATGGATCATTTTCATTTAAAACAAACTTTGACCACAAATTACTTCTGAAATGCTTAGTTAATTTATTTTAAAAAATCGGTATGTATAGATTTACCTTGGAGAGAAGTATCAAAATATCATAAACTTATTTTAATATAAAGTTGATGATCAAATTGAAAATTAACCAAATCTTATCTAAAGATCAAATATATTTTTACCAAATGGAGTATTTGTAAAAATGCAAGTTAAAACTTCGCAGTCATGGACTCATGGTATTGGTGATCAACTCTCATTAATTCCTAACAATAATATAAAAGGTAAAATGGACAAGAATCCTAACAATAATATAAAGGTAAAATGGACAAGAATTTATTGTTCTAGAGGCTACATTTATCCTGAAAAACTTTATTTTTAACTATAAACCTAAACAGCTTGTCTAGGTGTCTAGGTTTGCTCTAGCTCTATAGCTATCATTTCCATCCAACCCTCTTGTACACTTGCCCCAACCCTGAGGACTTAATCCATCGAGGTCAATGGTATTTGGGCTGGTGGTGTCCTATGGCAGCACGAAATCTAGAGGAATCACGAGGATGGAACCCAGCTTCCATTGAAGGTCTTGTTCGGTTTAAAGGGGATTAAAGAGTATTGGAGGGGATTGATGGAGAATAATTCCACACCACAATAAGTGTGGAATAAATCCCCTCCAATCCCTCCCTCTTGGGGATTAACCAAACAAGGCCTGAATGTGTGAATCGCCTACTAACCAATTAAGCAACAAGAGGTTTATGCTCAAATAGAGAACTACTTTCTATAAATATAATAAATATAGGAATTGGGTCTAATACCCATGATCCTCACTGTGTCCGCTCTTCTCCCTCTCCCATCCACTCCTAAAGGAGTAAAAGTTGATGATAACTCATTGATAGCAAATGTGTCCTTAAAATTACTTATTGTTCTAGTTTTTTTAAGTCAAACATTTGCACCTTTGACCACCAATTTCTACAAATTTATATCGTTTAGCACCATAAGATTTTTATTTTTAGATTCACCATGAGAAATACTTTCACGAGATGTAATTCATGTGTTGTTAAAATATAATTTTTTTTTGAAAAAAAATTGATAGTTGAAGATATAAATGTTTGACTTATGACAAATTTAGAACGAGACGACCGAGGTAATAACCATTTTCTTGAGGGGATTTTTTTTTTGTACAATTGCATATTTGCAAGATAAAGTTACATTTCTCTCTTTCCTTCCACTCATTCACACTCCTGTCTATTTCCTTGTCTTTTCACCCTGTTAGCATCTTGAATCTTTTTTTACCACCAAAAACTACTTAGAGCCTTTTTTTTAATCCAACACTAAAAAACTACTTTAGCCTGAAAAAAAGGCTGAAACACCATATAGCAAGAAAGAAGAAGAAAAAAAAAATCTACTACAGAGTACACTTGACCAGCTGTCCCTACATGTCAGCCACCCCCCAAAGCTAGTTATACCTTGCAGCCCTCGTCGAGCACCTTGGCACCGTCGAGCGCGGCGGCGGCCTCGTCGGCGTCGTAGCTGGCGTGCACGCTGTAGAGCACGTAGACGAGCGCGGCGGCGGCGGTGAAGAAGCCGAAGCGGACGTAGGAGGGGCGGTCGAGCGAGCCGAGGAGGAAGACGTTGAGGAACACCGACGCCGCGGGCACCCACGGCATGGCCGGGACGCCCCACAGCTCCGGCCGCCGCGCCTGCGGCACCAGCGCCCGGAACGCCGCGACGGCGGCGGCGGCCGCCGCGCCGCACGCCACCAGCAGCCCCGTCCTGGCCCCGCCGCGCGGCGCCAGCTTCCACACCAGCGTGAAGCAGAGCGCCACCAGGGAGAAGGCCAGCAGGAACGCCAGCGTCGGCACCGCCCCGCGCCGCCGCCCCTCCTCGTCGTCCTCGGCGGCGGCGACGTAGCGGCGGTAGACGACGGCGTTGGCCACCATGTAGAAGACGAAGAGCGTGCCGATGCAGACGAGGTTGAGGAGGATGTCGAGCTCCGTGAACAGCGCCAGCGCCGCCGTGAACACCCCTGCATCGTCGCCAAGGACCAAACTGTTTATTCCCCAGAACAAATGGATCAAAGTGATCAAACAGTTGTAGAAAGATACACCATCCGTTTTATATCATAAGTTATTTTAACTTTTTTTAAGTCAAATATGTCTAAATTTGATTAAATTTGTAAAAAAAAATATAGTAACATTTTTAACATAAAACAAACGTACTATCAAAATACAAAATATATTCAATGTTATATTTAATGAAACTAATTTGGTGTGATAGATATTGCTAGATATTTTCTACAAATTTAGTTAAACCAGAAAAAAATTATCTAGAAAAAAGTCAAAACGATTTATAATATAAAATAGATGGAGTAGATTCTACACTCTCGAGATTACACCCCGTTTGCATGCATTTAAATAATTAGAAAAAGAATAAAGAAAATTTAGTAAGATAAATTAATATATGATATATCAGTTCACAAGCATATAAAATCAAATTTAACATCTACTACAAGTTGAGAAAAAAATTAATTGTGAATATACATTAATTATCTATAGTTTATTTTTTCTAAAATTTATACAAGTCAAAATTTAACTTTTTATATTTCTGAAATGATATATCATTTAGTAACGTATCTTATTAATTTCTTTTAAAAGAATATAACTATTTAAATGACATATATATATATGGAATCGAGGCAGTGTCGCTGTCTTGACTACCTGGAATTAATTAGGAGGAAGGTAAGTTGAATTGAGAAGTCAGAAAAGGCTCACACGGATTTCAGACTAATCACGGAAGATTCATGAGACAAAAGAGTACTACCCCCTAGCAGTACTCCCAAATCACGGGATTACAAGTGGAATTCAAAGACACGGGCTCTAATAATTTCCTCTCACAGTGAACATTACCATCCTACAAATTCTCACGGCTCATCAATCAAAACCATTGCATCGCACAGCCAATCACTCACTCCCTGACTCACTCACTCGATCAGCATGTCGTTATCCTGTCAAATGTCAAACAGTAGTAGCTAGAACCGTGAGTTTGAAGACGATTAGTTAGTTAGTTAGTTAGTTAGTTAGCTAAGCAGCTTTTCATTAATTGCGTGTGTGTGGCTGTGTTTGTGTTGGTTGTGCTCTCGTCGTCATCTTCTTCTTCCTCGCCGAGATGAGTTGAGAGAGAAGCCAACAACCACCACCACCACCACCACACCCGTGTCATGTCCGCCGCTTTAATTTCATCGATCGCGGTTAGCTAGCTTCCCTGGCCGCAAAGGCTAACAAGAAAAGGCAGACTGATGCTGCTGTTATTAGTTTAGACACTGTGTGAACAAGAGCTGGTACTGTACTAGCTAAGCTAGCTCACTGTTTCGTCGTCAACTGCTACTCACATGCCACTTTGACTTATGGGGAAAAAAAACATCCATGTAAAAGTTTCTTTTTAAAAAAATATATATATCTTTAACACTTACAGCAATATTTGGTATTTTTTTTAAAAAAATTGACCATCGATAATTTATTTTTTAAGATAATATAATAAATCGGCCTCTACACCCAAAAAGGATGTACACAGCCCTAACCATCGATAATTTCTCAGATGGTTGGTTTAGAAATAAAAACAAACGATATCCATATATTCACCATGAAAAAATATAATATGATCGTTTAAACTCATCAGACTTTATAATTCACTATAAAGCAAAATTGGTTCATGGAACTAGAAATTCAACCGAATCTTGTGTTAAATATCAAATATTTATTATTTACGACTCAGAAGGAGCAGGTATGTATAATAAAAGGCTCACCGAGGAAGGCGGAGGCATTGACGGGGGTGGCAGTGCGAGGGTTCACCCTGGCGAGCCAGGCCGGCATGACACCGGATCGGCCGATGACGCAGAGATACCTAGCTTGTCCCAGCATCGCTACCATCAGCGACGTTAGGATGCCAAGGCTAGCGCCGGCGCCGATCACGTTGGACACCCATCCCCACCCAGAGCTCCCCTTGAACGCCCCAGAGAACGGCGCCTCCGTGTCAATCTGCACCACACCAAAACACAAGCACAACAAAAATAAATATTGATGTTATTTTTCCAAATTAATTCCCAATTTCTCGAGGGGGGAATGTGAGCATATGGATCAGAAAGGTTAATTTTGCAGATTCTTTGATGTATTTTAATTCATCCTGTTGGAAAAAAAAAGTAGTAATACTGTGACTAGATCTTTTTTTACTGTAGATTCATCCAGCTACTACATATCTATCCCGGAAAGGTTGAAAGCGAAACAAAGGATTAGAAAAAGAAAGAGATTCGTGTGCCGGCCTCCTATTCTAGCTATAGCTAATATATTCCCCAGAATTATCCTCTAACATCAAAGCCTAGAAAAAAACTTTTTTCCCCTTGGTTTTTAATTATTAGCCTAGGAGAGTGAGACTACAATGTCCTATTTGGGAATCTCCGTTTTTTTTCTATAGATAGATTCCTTTGATAGCTTTGATAGGTAGTATCCCCTCTGTCCCGATATATAACAAATTTTAACATTGAAAATTTATTCAGAATATTGCAACTTCTCTCTATACTTCTCATCTCAACTAGTGATAATTATCTCACATTTAATGTTTCTCAACCAAACTATCAAAAATGCTTATATGTTTGGATGGAGGGAGAGATGACACTGGGCCCAGCCATCTCAGAGAGAGGGGAGGTGTACTTACCGCGTCGTAGGGAAGAAGCATGGACATGGAAGCGGCCATGAGGCAGTAGAGCAGTGTGACGAGCACGACGGAGCCGGAGACGCCGATGGGGATGTCGCGTGACGGCCGCTCCACCTCCTCGGCCATGGTGGACACCGCGTCGTACCCGATGTAGCTCAGGTACACCATGGCGGCGCCGTTGAACACCCCGGCAGCGCCGTGCGGGAAGAACCCGCCGGGGTTGTGCTCCGGGTCGGCGGGGCGCGTCAGATTCCGGGTGTCACCGCGCCAGAATCCCATCACAATGACGAACATGATGAACAACACGTGCACTGCCGTCAGCACCATGTTCACCGACGAGCTCTCCTTCGTGCTGCGCCATAAAAAATCCCATCAAAATAATTCTTTTTCTTAAAAAAAATTGTAAGAATATTGTCATGCTGACCAAAATGAATCTTGGTCATGGAAACATAGCTATCAGAATTCAATCATAATGTACTGATTGATTCTCCTCTGCATTCACCAATCATTTCAGGAATTGTATTCCCAAAATCTCAGCACACATTTGTGCAGGGGACAAGAACAAAAAAGAGTGGTTCTTGACTGTTTTGACTTGATACGATATGCCAGAGCATGGGAACACAAGGACACAGGCCGGACGGCTTCTTTTGCAGATTCTTCCTTTGGACAAAGCTTGCCAACACATTCGCCACAGAAAACACATTCGATCGTGAAAGAAAAAGGGAGGGTAAAACGGGCATTTGGAATAGCAGAGACCGACCATTCAACAAGATCCTTTCTTTCAGAACAAAATCTCTGAATTTTTTTTTTCTCTGCAGAGGAGGACCATGCAGCCATGGAGCAGGAGAAATTCGACCAAAATTAAATTGGCACCATGCACATTGTGTGAACTTTGAGCTAGAATTTGCCAAGAAGAAAGACACAGGACTACAGGAGCAGTTGCAGAGAAGACAAGGGAACAGACAACGCAACAAAAGTTGCTTGCACTTGCTCTGCAAAAGCCTTGCAGTACACATCCGTAGGAAGAGACAAGAACTCTGACACTTGTGTCATAAGCAAAACCAGCACAATTTCTATTATAGGGTGTGTTTAGTTGGATCCAAAGTTTGGATTTTGGTTGAAATTGGAGATGATGTGACTGAAAAGTTGTGTGTGTATGACAGGTTGATGTGATGGAAAAGGACTAAAGTTTGGATCCAAACTTTGAATCTAAACACAGCCATACTCCCTTGGTCCCAAAAAAAAACTTAAGCTAGTGTGTGTTTAGTTCCACATTAAAATTAGAAGTTTGACTAAACTTAAAAGTTTGAAGAAAAAAATTAAAAGTTTATATGTGTAGCAAAGTTTTGATGTGATGGAAAAGTTGAAAGTTTGAAAAAAAAAGTTGGGAACTAAACCTGGCCCTAGAAAGAGTTAAGGATAACGAATTTGGACAAATGGTAGTCTAGATTCATTGTAGGGGTCACATCCTCTTCTAGATTGAGTTTTTTTGGACGGAAGGAGTACTCCCCCAACAAAAAAAAAAGTTGTTTTTTTTAGTTTTTACAGATGTGTGCGTACCTGTAGCAGATGCAGACGGTGATGAGGAGGATGACGCCGACGGCGACGAGGTCAACCTCGTTGAAGCCCTTGGGGAGGCCTGGCACGGCGATCCGCCACTTGCTCGGCGCGTCGACGCCCACCGCTGTGCCGAGGTACGCCGTGAAGCTCCTCGCCACGGCGGCGTTGGAGAAGACGTACTCCATGATCAGGTTCGCCCCTGTCAAGAACGCCGCTAACTCCCCTGCACAACCAAACAAACTCAAAAATCTGATCCATCTGAAAAAAAACATAACGCATTTTGGACTTTTAGAGAGCAGAAAAATAGTCTCAAATTCTAAATTACTACTACATCCATCTTAAAATATAAGTATTTCTAACTCTAGAAATACTTATATTCTAGGACAGATATAGTAAATTACAAGCAAGTTAATAGATGCAACAGTGTATGTAATTTCTATGCAATTATGCTTGGTTAGCTGAAGAGTGATATATTTTTTTTGTGAAAAATAAAATGAAGTGACTGCAAAAACTGATGATCAGTCACAATGGGATCTTTTTGGTCCCAGGTGGAAAAAAAAAGGGTAAGCGGTTTGGGAGATGCAAAGAAACAAAGAAAGGGACTTTGCAACATTATTTGGACATGGACATGCGCCCGTGTAATAAAATTTGTTGGGAGTCACAATCTAGCCAAACTCCTTTTTTTTATGATCCATTTGGTGTGAGTTTCTGAAAAAGAAAAATGTTGATATGAAACCTATTGACAAATCTACGTGCATGTAACTAAATAAAGTTGGCACAATATTAGGCTTCGTTACTAGTTTTGGAATGCTCATTTCCCTCGAACAAATAATAAAATAATCAAACCACCCGTAGTTACTTGTCAAAATAAAAAAGTGTGAAAATAGAAATTAGATCGGATTTTCAAGCTGACAAATTTTTTTTTAAAAAAAACATATGAAAAATCTAGTAACCTTTAAGAAAAGGAAGAGCCAATTAATATGAAATCAGAGAAAGACATTTTCTTGCTCATACAACTTGAGCCCATAATAAATACAGCGAAAATATGCAGGGCAGCATCAATCAGCAAAAGTACAGGTATTATAAAATTTATCAAAAAAAACCATAGGAGCAAACAAAAGGACAACAGCAGCCGGCTTAAAAGGAAACTGCCATGTTCATATGCATATAAATGCTCACAAAAAGAAACTGAAATTTGCACTTTCTAGCGTGTAGATAGATAGATAGATAAACCGAAGGATGGCGAAAAGCCAAGCCATAGAGATAGATAACCATCAAATCTTTGAGTACAGAAAAAAAAAAGAAAAGAAAGAAAAGATAGAACCCAATCTTTAATGACGTAATTACATGAACAAACGGCCCAACAAAATGAAACGAAATTTGAAGAAATCCTGAATTGACGCCAAAAAAGAAGGGAAATATTTAAGTCATGATCTTGGCGTGATTGAGCAGCTGAGCTCACCGAAGGTGACGCGGAGGTAGCTGAAGGCGCCGCCGGCGACGGGCATGTCGACGGCGAACTCGGTGTAGCAGAAGGCGGAGAGGAGCGCGCAGAGGCCGGCAATGGCGTACGACACGACGACGGCCGGGCCCGCGTAGAGGCGCGTGGCGCGCCCCGTGGTGACGAACACCCCGGCGCCCACCATGCCGCCGAGGCCGAGCCCGACGAGGTCCGGCCACCGCAGGGCGCGCGCCATGTCGGCCCCCGAGCGCGCGCGCACGCGGCTCATCTCCTCGCCGGGCGAGGCCGCGGCGCACGCCCGCGCCGCCAGCCGCCGCGGCGTCTGCGCCAGCGCGCGCCCGTACGCGCGCAGGCTCGAGAACGACGAGCCCCCGCCTCCGCCGACGCAGCACGTCTCGTCGGGCGACGGCATCAGGGCGCCCTTGTCCATGGCTGGAACGCTGTCCCTGTCGGCGGCGGACGACGGCGATGCGGTGGCCGACGGCGAGGGAGAAGGAACGGAAGAGAGGAGAGGAGTGGATGCGTACCGAGCGGCAGGTCGGGAGCGGTTTTTATAGAGTGAGTGAGCCTGTGAAAAGGTGAGACTTCAATTTTTACCGTTTTAGTTTTACAGTTACCAACGGTGAAATGTGACGGTAAAATGAGCTGAAATTTTGAAGTTTGACTTTTTATGACAAAAATATGTTCCAAAGTGAAAGGACATGAGAATAAGAAAACCACAGTAATTAAAGTTGTATGTTTGTCTAATCCTACAACATGGAAAATATAGGAAATGAGAGGACCGAATAGTTTTTCAAATGGTTAGACTTATTTTCCATAAAATTGAGTCATATGGATGAGAAACGTCCAAGCCTCACCCCTTCTAATTATTTGATATTAGGTTCTTCTCTAATATTCGTGTTTTTTTTCATATGAATACAATTCAATGGAAATTTATCTTTTCATACGAATAAAAAAGATTATATTGCAAAGAATAATTAGAAAATTAAATATAATAATCCTCTAAAATTCCTACAATAATATCCTCTAATTCAAAGGGGGCGTAAAAAGAGATAATTCCAAATTGAAAACACATGCTGACACAATGTACGTCATCAAGGTCAGCATAAGGACTCGCGAATGGACAGGACCAGACATGCAAAACTTGCATATAGGATTGAAATTGTAAAAGTCAACTTAGAAATTAAATAGGGATTTTATGTGGAATAATTGATTTTTCTTTTAGCAATGGTTTCTAGTGGAACTCTCACTTTTAAATTTGCCCGTATCTTTCTTTTTGGAAGTTTCCGGGCCAGATTTTGAAAGCTTTTGAAGAAGATATTTGGGTGGGAAGGATTTGGTAGACCTAGAGATCATATTCTGGTGCTAGGTAATTTATTTTCACAACCAAATCCTAAAAGTTCACCTTTTATGTTAAAGAATTACTAGCTATGTTTAATTCTCTTTCTAAAGGAGCTTTATAACATCTCTTTGAGGCTTGATCTCTGTTTTGGACAAATAAACTATCAGTTCCTATATGAAATTCGAAGTATGTTTTCAAATGAATTTTGCCAAATTCCAATTAATTAACCAGCTGGAGTGCTGGACAGACATGCTCGAATTGAAAGGGTCCATAAAAGCTCATCCTAGGTACAGTTGTCCAACTCCCATATAGCCCATATTTGTAGTGGAGTACACCATTAATTTGATAGAAGCAATTCATCCACATCCAAACGGGCCAAAACAGTAGTAGACACTGTCCACAACTTCGCTAAATATCACCTCTATGATGTATGATTGCATCCGATATGCATTAATACATGTGAGATCCTTGTGTGGAAAAATAATTTCTAATGAAAATTTTACGGGATTTTTCCACGACTATCTCCAGAACTTGATAATTCGAAGCCGTAATTTTCGTACCGACAACGAAAAGCCCATGTGTGGGTGTGTGACGGTGTGAGTGTGACGATAGCGGCTTAGCTAATACTCCCTCCGTTTCGTTTTATTTGACGCCGTTGACTTTTTATCACATGTTTGACCATTCGTCTTATTCAAAAACTTTTGTGAAATATGTAAAATTATACGTATGCATAAAAGTATATTTAACGATGAATCAAATGATAGGAAAAGAATTAATAATTATTTAAATTTTTTAAATAAGACAAGCGGTCAAACATGTGCTAAAAAGTCAACGGTGTCAAATAAAACGAAACGGAGGGAGTAACATACAGATTATTATGGTGTGTCGTGGGCATCTCCTTAACTTGAATTGGGGATTGAAATTTATTGATGCCTATGTATGTGAAGTGGAAGTTTGTGATGTCCCCTCTATCTCTCGTGTGTGCCTACGCGGCAAACGTGCAACCAAAAGTGATACTTTTGTGGTGTTTGTCAATGTCCATAGCTTTAATATAAAATTGAAACAAAAAGTGAATTTGCCGTGGTTTTTCTTAGTAATCTGTCCCGGCCATTTGGATTAATAAATTTCCAAGTCCAAGTTCCTCTACACTTATTGGTGATTTTGCAATCCAAGGTGACATACATCTCCTTTGTTGGCTCCTCGTGACATCAAAAGATTTTCCACAATGCAACGGACGACACTTGATAAAATAGTTAGTATGTTTGTGTGGTATTTAATTGCTCTCTCCATTATTTGTCATTTTAAATGATTTTTTTTCTAAATATAATTAAATATTTTATTAACCAATAAAAACATCCGACCACTGCACTAACTAGGAGTGCGCAGCCAAAAAAAAACTAATGTGTCAAAGCAACTAATTTATTATTTTCAAAAAAGGTATAAACGTTGATGCTCATATACGCGTATGTACACTCATCACTAAAAGCATATACACCCCTATAAATACTTTCAAAAACAGTCCCACATATATCTTGCAATTGAGAAAGTCACTACAGACGTCTCGTTATCGGCGAGCAGTTGTATACCACTGAAAGCTAGAATAATTACTCGCAAATATCAACACCTTTGCCCGGTCTAAAACTTGAATTCAGATGGATGAATTCCACCACAATGAACTTAATCAGCTGAGCTATGTTAAACTCACTAATTGAATTATAATTTAGTATGAAAAATCACAATGCGCTGTATATATACTTTTATCGACAAATCTCAAAATCTCAAAATATCACTTTCATGTAGTCAATTAGGGCAGCTTTAAATATGGCGACTAAAGTTTGACGACATGAGTTGGTGTACAACAAATAGTTTCTCTTCTTTAAAATACCATAAATGTGATAATAAATTATAGTACTGTTTAAGGAAACACAAGTTATTTTATTTTCCCGTCTACAAATATAAGCATTCTAGATTTCTTTTTAAGATTGAAGAGAAAAGAAAAGGATTTAATGTTCCTCACTTACTAAATGAGAGAAGGTCTGAAGTGATTGGAAGATAGTTAGAAGTAAGATGAAAGAAAATTAAACTATGGTTGATTGATCGGACAATATATCAGTACCTAGAATTTCTTATATATGAAAAAACAAAATTTAAAATCTAGGAATCATTATATTCAACAACGGGGGAGTAATTAACAGTAAACGTAGCTGTTATGCTTGTTTTACATCACGAAAATAATCTGGTAGATACATCGATGTTGACTTGTTTGGTATCGAGTTCAGCGAACTGATGAACCATATGGTTTCATGACAAGAGCCTGAGCTAAGCTATGCCAGGCGAGCAGCCGTTGCGGGTCCCGCTTGGTGGTTGGACGGTTTCTCCATCTCTTTCCCTTGTCTCTTGCGCAAGGTTGTCAGTATCCCGATTCGTATACTAGTATCTTACGATACTACGATCCTATCAAGCCGAAAGGATACCGATCCCACCTAGTATCTTAATTTTCATAGTATCTCGATCCTACTATTCATTACTACACGATCCTACGAAATCTTAGGTGGTATCCCGATTCTACGATCCCTACGATACTACAAAATATTATTTTAAATAATATGGTTTCAAAATAATGTAACTAAATATGCTCAAATTTATATAAAAATCAGTTAAATATATCAAAACCAACGTGGTTTCTCTTGTCTTTATTTGCATTATATATATCATTACTATATTTTTTTATACAAAATGGCTATATATAATTAATATAAATATTAATTAAACTTAAAAAAAAGAAAATCTCTTAGTATCCCGATACTACGATACGATTCTACGATACGGTATTACTTTGAGCAAAATGATACTACCTAGTATCCCGATCCTGACAACCTTACTCTTATGTACACTTCTCCTAATTTGGTACTCCCTCCGTCCAAAAAAAGACAAACCCTGGTTTCCGTGTCCAACGTTTGACCGTCCGTTTTATTTGAAAAAATTATGAAAAAAATTAAAAAGATAAGTCACGCATAAAGTATTAATCATGTTTTATCATCTAACAACAATGAAAATACTAATTATAAAAAAATTTCATATAAGATAGACAGTTAAACGTTGGTACGAGAACCCACGGTTTGCCTTTTTTTTTTGGACGGAGGGAGTAGTTGCTGCATTCATGTCTTCTCTCTGCTGCACACAAATCATGCTCTTATGCAGGTGATGCTGGCCAGTTAGTTAGCTACCATAAGTTAAGATCCTTTGTATTACTAATAAAAATTTCATGGAAAATGGACAAATAATATTTTTCCACAAAATATGGTTGACATTTACATGTAAATTTTCAAGTTGCATCCAGGAAATTTCTCCTTAATTTTCCGACAAAATTATATATAGTTGTTTCAACCTCACTGAGAGAGAAGTATTTGCATATAAACTTTCATGGAGCATCCTAGAAATTTCTCCTAACCCTTTTTTTATACTGCTGTATATACGATTTAGTTGTATAACTCATATATAACTCATATACAATCATAGATCAATCAAAGAAGAGCATGTTCATATGCACTGTAGCCATTTACCATCGTTGATCAAATTCAGTCATACGTGATTCGGACAGTTGGGTCGTATGTATAGCAATTTTTATTTTTTTTATAGAATTGTATATTGTTGGTTCTACCTCACTGAAAGAGATAGGTTGACACCTTATAATACTGGAAACCCTGAAATATAAGTGGAAGGCACATTAATTATATTTCTAGGAACACTAAACATTTTAGCAAGCGACAAAGTTTGTTCTCTTGTCGAACAAAAACAAAGTTAAAGGGTTTTACATTTTTTTGATAGGTTGAATGAAAGAGGAATTAAACGGCTAGGATCGGACTAACAAGTTGAGTGCATTCCTTTGGCTAAGCAAAAGGCACAAGTTGAAGCTTATTGCTAACGCACATATATAACCGTCTCCACTATCAATCATGTGAAAGGTTCCTTTTCTACTCATGTATTCTCTTTCCCACTTTCTAGCTACCCTTTTCAGCATAGAAGAAAGTCGTTTAGGTAGGGAAAAAATAGCATGTTTATTGTCTTTGGATAAACCCAAATAGTAGAAGTACATTACACAACAAAAAGTAAAAATCATTATTTGTAGGAGGGAAGGAAAACTATAGGGGTAGGCGAAAAGGGACGAAATATATATAGGAGGAACGATTAA